AGCTTGTGTCATCTCCCGCATCAGGTACCGTGAACCGATTACCCCCATACTTGCCCAGGTTCACTGGCTCTCCATCCCTCAAAGAATCAAGTTCAAAACACTCGTTCTCACCTCAAAGCCCTCCATTGTCTTGCTTCCCGCCTACCTCTGCGACCTCCTTACCCCATATTAGCCTGTCCGCTCGACGCACACCGGCCTGCTTCAGGTCCCCCACATTTCCCTCCCCACCATTGGGGGCAGGCATTTAGCATCTCTGCCCCCACACCCTGGAACTTTATCCCATAATCCATCTGCCTCATCCCCTCTCTTGCATCCTTCAAGTCCTTTCTAAAGACCTTCCTCTTCGACCGTGCCTTTGGCCACCTTCCCACCCCCAACCCGCTGCCCTTCACCACTCCTGACCCCAATTCCTAGCTCAGGTCCAAAACCCCTGGATGTCCAGCACCCTGGGGCATCTTTCTGACCTGAAGGACACTATACACATGTAATTTGTTGTTGTTGCATCAACCAGGATCTGCTCTGCACTGCCTCTTGAGCGTGGGTAACCCCCTACCTACCCCCTTCCCCCTAAGAATATTTCTTGTATTTCATATAGGACCTTATTACATCATTGAGATGTCTCTAAGGGCTTTGCAGGATCTACCGCAAAATGTAATGACTATTTGGAGGCAAGCATACAGCCAATTTGTGCATATATGTCATAGTGACCAGAATTGTACGTAGGGCTTCAGGTGAGGCCGGGCAAGAGTAGTTTAAAGTTTCAACATGACTTCTGGGGAATCTGAATTCAACTCATGTTGCTCAGCAATCTATTTATCTTATTTAGCATTATTTCACACAATAAACTCCAGATAACTCATCCCTGGCTTAACTTGTCAATATCGCTTAAGTTGTCATGCTGTCAATAGCCTGGCCCCCTCCCGTGCAAAATGTTAATAAGTGGCTCTGCTTTAATTCACACATTACTAGTCCGATTCTAGAAATTCTTGTAAGTACTTACAATGTAAAATTGATCGGATAACCTGTCCTATAAGATGGCGTCTAGCATCATACAGGCCTCCCGCCCTATCCTATGACTGCATGCGCCTAATTGTTTCCCAGTGTTTGGGACAACAATCACCCAAAATAAAATTGGTCAATCACGTCTTGATGTTTTGTGGGACACTGCTGTGTACAAATTAACTGCTGCATTGCCTACAAAAATACAATAGGAACACTTGACCTCTCTGTCCTTCTTGACCTCTTTGCTGACTTTGACACTGTCCACCATTCTTCCTCCTCCACCACCTCTCCTCTCCACAAACTTCAGGTCCTGTCCTCGATTGGTTCAAATCCTACCTTTTACACCATCTCCACTTTGTCTCCATGAACGGCTTCTCTTCCATCCTCTGCAACCTAGGCATCAGGTTCGTCCCTCAATTATCCTTCCTCCCCCACATCCGGTCCCTCACCAGCACTGCTTTTTTCCACATCCAACCCATCACCCGTCTCCGCCAATACCTCTCCCTAAAAGCCGCTGAAACCCTGGTCCATGCCTTTGTCATCTCTCGGCTGGACTACTCTAACGCCCTCCTCGCAAGTCTCCCATCCTCTACCATCCATAAAATCCAAATCATTCAAAACTCTGCCGCCCGCATTCTCACCCGCATGAAACTCCGTTCCCCGATTACCCCAGTCCTTACCAGACTGCACTGGCTGCCTATCCCAGAGGATCGATTTCAAGATCCTCACCCTTGTATTCAAGTCCCTGCACTCCTCTGCACCCCCCTACCTCTCTGACCTCCTCTCTCCTCAAAACAGTACCCGTTGCCTTTGTTCCTCCGGGTCTGGTCTCCTCCTCGTCCCCCGAGTCTTCCGCTCCACCTTTGGTGCCCGTGCCTTCAGCCACTATGCCCCGAGGGTCTGGAACTACCTTCCTCACTCCCTTCATCTCGCTCCCTTCCTTCCCCTTTTCAGGTCTCTGCTGAAGACCTTTCTTTTCGACCGAGCCTTTGGTCACCTTCACCCCCCTCCCCCTGGCTTGGACCTGGGATCCGTTACTGTAAAGCACTCTGTGATTGTTTGGCGTGGAGGGCGCTATATAAATCCAAGTTGTTGTTGTTGTTGCAACGTCTTGTGTGGCGTTCCTCAGGGCTCAGTCCTTGGTCCTTTCCTCTTAAATATCTATATGCTCCCTCCCGGTGACATCATCTGCAGACATGGGGTCAACTTCCACATGTAAACGGATGACATCCAACTCTATCTCTTTGCCTCCACCCTTGATTTCAGGACCACTACTGTCCTGACATCAAGTCCTGGACGGGAGCTAACCTTCTCCAGTTGAATGTCAACAAGACCAAGGCTCTGCTGATTGGCTCCCGTCAGCGCTTCTGCACCTCAGGCACTGGCAGCAACTCCATCCATGGATGCACACTCCACATCACGAAGCCAGTCTGGGACCTAATCATCTTGTTTGACCCTCAACTGTACTTTCTACCCTACATCCATGCCATGACCCGCTCTGCCTTATCCTACCTCCGCAACATCGCCGGTCTCCGCCACTGACTCTCCCCTCAGGCCGCCCAAACCCTCATCCACGCATTCATCAGATCTAGGCTCAACTACGCCAACTCCCTGTTTGTCGACCTTCCCATCTCTTCCTTCCACAAGCTACAGATCATCCAGAACTCTGCAGTTTGTGTCCACTTCTGCACCAGGCTCCATGACCCTATCACTTCCACCCTTACCCAGCTCCACTGGCTCCCCATGCCCCAGAGAATGGAGTTCAAAATCCTCATCCTTGCCTTCAAAGCCCTCCACGGCCTTGCTCCTTTCTACCTCTGTGACCTAACGCCTTATCAACCTGTCTGTTCCCTCTGTTCAGCAATCATTGGCCTGCTCCATGTTCTCCACCCTGCCCGCCCCACCATTGGTGGTCGGGGCCTTCAGCCTCTCTGCTCCCACCCTTTGGAACGCCATCCTTCAGTCCCTTTACCTTGCTTCCTCCCTTGCATTCTTCAAGGCACGTCTCAAGACCCTCCTGTTTGAACGTGCCTTCGATCACCTCCCACCCTCCCGATCCCAACCCCATACTTGGGTCCAAAATCCCTGACTGTCCTGAGCCTTGAGATGTCCTCTAACCCAACCTGAAAGGCGCTATACAAATGTAATTAGTTGTTGCTTACAGTCGAGTCCTGCGAAGCACTTTGAGACATCCTGCCTACATGAAAGCTTCTATATTAAATGCAAGGATTATTTATTATTGGAATGTGAAACGCCACAAAATGCTTCAGATGTCATTGCTGTCAATTGCAACGTCTGTAGGCAGACACAGCGGTCAATTTGTGGATAGCAAAACAGCGAGGAGGCGAATGACCAATGTTATCTGTGAGGTATTGTTGGTCAGGACGCCGGATGAAGCTCCCTCGTCTCTTCAAGCAGCGCCATGGGAATGTTCACCCGAAGGGGGACAGACGGGACCTCAGTTTAACATCTCATCCGAAGCTCCCCCCGACGATACGGAGCTCCCCGCCCCTGGGAACACGCCCTGGAGCGTCAGCCTGGACTCAGATCTCGGTGACCCTTCGGAGCAAACCCGCCCGATCGGGGGGCGTGAAACCCGCCCGATCGGGGGGGCGTGAAACCCGCCCGATCGGGGGGCGTGAAACCCGCCCGATCGGGGGGCGTGAAACCCGCCCGATCGGGGGGCGTGAAACCCGCCCGATCGGGGGGCGTGAAACCCGCCCGATCGGGGGCGTGAAACCCGCCCGATCGGGGGGCGTGAAACCCGCCCGATCGGGGGCGTGAAACCCGCCCGATCGGGGCACATTGGGCGGCACCGAGGTCACGCCCCCCCCCCCCCCCCACTCTCCGTCTGGAGCTAGTTGCCTGGCAACTGCTCCCCCCTTCTCCCCTGCCCCTTGGGGGGGGGGGGGGGGGGTGAGCAGTTGCCAGGCAACCAGCTCCAGACAGAGAGTGGGGGGGGGGGGCGTGACCTCGGTGCCGCCCAATGTGACCCGATTGGGCGGGTTTCACGCCCCCGATTGGGCGGGTTTCACGCCCCCGATTGGGCGGGTTTCACGCCCCCGATTGGGCGGGTTTGTTTCCTGCGCGTGTGTGGGTGGGGGGAAAAGTAGCGGCTTTGGGCGGGAGGGGGGGAGCGGCTCTCATTGAACCATTTCCTCAAAACAGATCAGATTTTTTTTCAGAGAGATATTTATATCCACGAACTGAAACGCGCAAAACGTTTTACGATTCACTGGGAAACAAATGAAAATCCCGACGCTCGGCCCGTCCGCCCGCCCGTCCGCCCGCCCTGCCTCTCAGTGCCATTAGGGGCCGAGGGGTGGGTAAATACCGGGCTGGCTGTGTTTTTTGGGTGATGTTTGGTGGACTTTGGGTGGGCTTTTATTTTCATTTCTGACCAAAACCCCCGAGTCAGGGGCGGGCGCCGCGACCCGGATATAAACCGCCGGCGGCCGGTCATCATGGCGGCCTGACAGCGGCAACAACAACAACAGCTCAGCCGCCCGCCACCGCCCTGAGAGCCCGAGGACACACAGCGGCCCGACACAGCCTCTCCTCACACTCCCGGGGCCCCTCTCTCTCTCTGTGTGTGTGTCTCCCGGTGTGTGTCTGTGTCTCCCTGTGTGTGTGTGTCTCCCTGTGTGTGTGTGTGTGTCTGTGTCTCCCTGTGTGTGTGTGTCTATCAGTGTCTCCCTGTGTGTGTCTGTCTATCTGTGTCTCCCTGTGTGTGTCTGTCTATCAGTGTCTCCCTGTGTGTGTCTGTCTGTGTCTCCCTGTGTGTGTGTCTGTGTCTCCCTGTGTGTGTGTGTCTATCTGTGTCTCCCTGTGTGTGTGTGTGTGTCTGTCTGTGTCTCCCTGTGTGTGTGTCTGTCTGTGTCTCCCTGTGTGTGTCTGTCTGTCTGTGTCTCCCTGTGTGTGTGTGTGTGTCTGTGTCTCCCTGTGTGTGTCTGTCTGTGTCTCCCTGTGTGTGTGTCTGTCTATCTGTGTCTCCCTGTGTGTGTGTGTGTGTGTCTCCCTGTGTGTCTGTCTGTGTCTCTCTGGGTTGAGAGTCTGTGATGGGTGACACCGAGAGATTCTGTTATGTTTACAGCTGTGACCTGGACATCAACGTCCAGCTCAAGATGTGAGTCTCTCTTTCTCTCACCATTCTCCTCCCTCCCTCCCTCTCTCACTCAACTCTTCCCCTCCTCCTACCATACTTCTCTCCCTCCCTCTTCTGCTACTACTACCGCAACAGCTTAATAATAATATTAATAATTCTTGCATTTGATATCACGCCTAATCACGTCTTTCAGGCGTCTCAAAGTGCTTCACGGAATATACTGTAAAGCGAATTGACTGTATATTTTATAGTGCTCTTATAATAATAATAATAATCCTTACATTTGATATAGCGCTTTTCTCGTCGGGAGGACGTCCCAAAGCGCTTCACAGAACACACTGTAAAGTGAATTGACTGTATATTTGTGGGCGAACGCGGTAACCAATTGCGCACAGCAATGTCCCACAAACAGTCGTAGATTGAAAATGACCAATTTATTATTGTTTTTTGTTTTGGAGGGATTATTATTAGGCTCTGTGTGGAGTAAGGAAACTTGCCCAAGGTTTCGCCCTCTGCCTGGAATTGAACTCAGGTCTCTCGCTTGAATAGCGAGTGCTCTAACCACTGAGCTACAGGACTCCACACGGAGTAGCGTCTCGGAGTGCTTATTTGCCCAGGGAACCTTAATCGGGGATGTATGTTCACTCTCCTGAAGAGTAGTAATAATAATATTACTTGTATAGTAATAGTATAATAATATTACTCTTAAGTAGAGTGGCCATTCAAGGTGAGAGTAGACTTTTGGGAATTTTTGTAGCTCGGATCCTTGCATGGCACTGAGATACTGTAAAGTGGATTGACTGACTGTACTCTGTGGATGAAAGAGTCTTCTCTTTCTTTCTCTCCCCCTTGAATAATCCAGAAGAGTCATTAACCCTCCTCTGGTAATAAATATTATTGTAACGAACTGTAATAAACTGATGGTGGTGTGATGTGTGTGTGAGTTATGTGTGTTTGCATGGCGGGGTAAGTCTATGTATAATCTTCTAGATATCAACTGCTTGTTCCTCCTGGTGTCACCACCGCTGGGAGTCTCTTCCCCTATCCACTTCCACACTACCCCTCAGATTCCTGACCATGTTTTGTAAATCAAATCTGGGGACATGTATATTTTTTTAAAAAACTCACCACGTTTCCTAATGCTGACAACACTGGAGAAACTTGTTAGATTAATAATGGCTGTATTTTTCTGATGAGGGTATCTGTTAGAATTTTATCTTTCTTGCTCGTTTATTGCTCAGCTCGAGACAGCAAATTTGGTAGAGAACATAATACCTCATCCAGGGATCATCACTGGAAATTGGGGATGTATGATCATCTGACCTTACATCTTGTTTTCTTCACCCCCACCTCTCAGAAATTACCAGAGAATCATTAGCTCTGCATGTATAGAGAATTTGGCAGGGAAATAAATCTCCAACCACCCGTTTCGCTCTCTTCACCCCCCATCTCCTCTCCCCCCCCCCTCCCCATGAGTAATCTCCTCTGGGTTTGGGATAAAGTTAATAATCTATACATTTGACAAAGTGCCTTTCACGTGAGTAGGTGTTTCAAAGAGCTTTGTGAGATTTATTTTAAAGTGTAGTGACTATTTTGTAGGTGAAGTTCACCATTTTTTTTAAGAGTAAAGCCATGACTGCCCCTGGCCCCCCTCCCCCCCCACCACCACACACACACCTTCCCAGGGAGGATTGTAAGGAGGCTATTGTTTGGTATTACCTTACACTGAGTTCTGTGTGCGCCTCATGATGACCCTTGCATTTTTGGTCATGTATCTAATTTGATGAATCTGATTTAATAGTAATATAGTAATATAATAATCATTGCATTTGATAGAGCATCTTGTTACGTCTTTGAAACGTCTCAAAGCACTTCATAGGATATACGGTAAAGCGGATTGACTGTATTTTGTAGGCGAAACGCGGCAGCTAATTGCGCACAGCTAATAATCCGAGTTATGCACTCATTTGTACTTCCTAATGTCGCAGCTGCAGTTTTCAAATATCCTATCTTGACTGCGGAACTTGTCCTCTATTCGTCTTGCAATTGTTGTATAAACAATTGTACATTGAGACTGTATGTATAAAAGTGAGATTTGAAAAAGATGCTATTGCTCAAATCTTAACCACTAAAGGCAGGATTTGTGCCCCATCTATCCAATTTCTAACCAGGCTCCTTTGCATTTATTTCTAAAACTAATACCGTGAATTATTTTGGTTAATTGTTTTTTGCTGTTTCTTAAGCCTTTGTAGTTTCTTTCTTACCTGTGCTTGTTTACTTCTGAATGTACTGTTTTCCAGTACTTCACGTCACCCCTTATGGAATTTGCCAAGTGGTTATTGTGTACATTTATTTTCCTTTTTAACTAGTGANTTTTTTCTTTCGGTGTGCACAAAGCTAACTGAAATACGAATTGAATATACGCAGTTAAAAATTGTTTGAGGCCATAATATTGGCTTAGCTAATGACATCTAAAATTTAATATAAAATTTAAATCTAAAGGGCTCAAAAATTGAACTTCAAAAAGTCTTTGACTATATGATTGAAAGGGGATAAATTTGGAACAAATCTACAGAAACGCTATTTCAATGAGTGTAGAGTGTAGTAAACCTGTAGAATAGGCTCTCTAGGGAGACGGTTGAAGCAGGAGGTGTTGATTCCTTCAAACACAGATTAGATAATTTTCTTTTAGGAAATAACATGGGATATAGTACATAGGTAGTTCGGGACATATGTGCATACGACCGCCAGGTAAGTGGAAGACGAACTAGATGGACCCTGGTCTTTTTTTTGTCCAGCATTTCTTATGTTCTAACGTTCTTTTCACTAGGATGAGAGTTATAAGAATATAGATGTTCCACTGGATGTTTTTCTTTATATTTGTTGATTCAGGGTAATGAATGCAGATAGTTATTTTCTCTGCAATCAAATTGTCTTCTTCATCTCTACAGAGGAAGCTTGGAAGGAAAACGAGAGCAGAAAAGCTACAAAGCTCTTCTAGAGGATCCATTGCTTAAATTTTCTGGCCTGTATCAGGAAACATGCTCTGATCTTTACGTAACTTGCCAGGTCTTTGCGGAAGGGAAACCCTTAGCTCTTCCAGTTCGGACTTCTTACAAAGCATTCAGTACAAGATGGAAGTAAGTACCTATAATAATAATAATCCTTGCATTTGATATAGTGCTTTTTTGAATGTGGTCTCTTTAGGAACAGGTTTTACACATGCTGAGTGTTCCCAACGACTTTTGTTTTTTGTTTCAGATTTCCAGCGTTGTAGTTTTTTGGCATTTTGTTTCTGAATAACTAGTTTCTTTGACTAAAAGGGATTCAAGTTTGACATAACATGTAGGAGCAGGAGTAGGCCATTCGGCCCTTCGAGCCTGCCCCACCATTCAATCATGGCTGATCTTCTAATCCAACTCCAGCTAATAACCTGACCCTGCCTTATCCCCATATCCCTTAATCCCTTTTGCAATAAGAAATCTATCTATCTCAGTCTTGAATATGTTCAAGGACTGAGCGTCAATAGCCCTTTGGGGTAGTGAGTTCCATACTTTCACCACCCTTTGAGTGAAGAAGTTCTTCCTCAACTCAGTGCGAAAGGGCTGGCCTCTGATTTTAAGGTTGTGACCCCTGGTTTTAGTTTCTCCAACCAGGGGAAACAATCTCCCACTATCTACTCTATCATGCCCTTTGATGATCTTATAGGTTTCTATAAGATCCCCTCTAATTCTTCTATATTCTACAGAATATAGGCCCAAATTGGTCAGCCTATCCTCGTAACTCATCCCCTTCATCCCTGGTACTAACCTAGTAAATCTACGCTGTAGCCTTCCAAGGCAAGTACATCCTTCCTTAAATAAGGAGACCAAAACTGCACACAGTATTCCAGGTGTGGTCTCACCAGGGCCCTATACAGTTGCAGCAAGACTTCCCTACTCTTATACTCTAATCCTTTCATAATGAATGCTAACATACCGTTCGCCTTCCTAATTGCTGCTGCACCTGCAGACTAACTTTCTGTGATTGGTGTACAAGGACACCCAAGTCCCTCTGGACATTAACACATTCTAATCTCTCCTCTTCTAAAAAATAACCCGCTCTACTGTTTTTGCTACCTAGGTGGATGACTTTGCACTTCCCTACATTATTCTTCATCTGCCACCTACCTGCCCAATCACCTAACCTATCTATGTCGCGCTGCATTTTTTTAATGTCGTCCTCTGTCTTGACACTTCCTCCTAGTTTTGTGTCATCCACGAATTTAGATATATTAACTTCGATGTCCTCATCTAGATCGTTGATGTAGATGGTAAATAGCTGAGGCCCAAGGACTGATTCTTGTGGCATTCCACTAGTCACATCCCGCCAATCTGAAAAGGACCCGTCTATCCCTACCACTAGTTTATTGAATTTAGTCATGGAGCGTCACATAATCTAGGCAACTCCCTTTAATGTAATGTGAAAAATTTTACTTTGAAACAGATGAAATGATTCAGTAGGGATAGTCTGAAGTATCGACAACCGTATTAGTATTATTGTTTCTTGTTGTGCTGATCATGCGGCATTTATCTGGAAACAAATTTACTTAAAACTGTCTTGCCATAAATGTTTTTTCGTGTGTGTGAATATGTGTGTCTGTTTTCCTGTACTATTGGAACTAGCTAACTTCCATTAGTTTTGTGTACAATGTGGTGTCTGCAAGATGTGGGATCATCCTTTCACCCTGAAATTTAGTATTGTGTTTATTTGAGAGCTAATTTCTTTGCTACTCCAGATAAAGATTGTCAGTGCTTGGAATAAAGATTCCACTTTTAGTGCCCAAAGTTGAAGACTCTTAGACATACAGAGTATCGATCCATCAGCTCTTTTGAACAATGCATCAGAGTGACTCATTTTATCCAATGTGTGTGAGTATCTGTGCATCTTATGAGGGTAGAAGAACCATGGCACCCAACGTAAATGTCTTTTTAATCCTTCAAGTATAGTAGACCTAGGAAATTTTCAATATTCTTCTGTTGACTAGTTCTCAGTTTGCACATCATGACACTAAAACAAATTATAATAATAAAACTGCAAATGTCCAAAGTATCTGGTGTATAATATTAACCTATCCATTTAAGAAAATGCTGTTCATTCTTCAGGTATTTTCATGTTAAATAGAAATAAGATCTATTGTAAATTCTACGAGTTTTTTTAGACAAAGCTTGTTTTTTGTCTCCCTGATCGGTTTCCATATCTGTTTGAACGTGATGGGAACGTCAGAAAGTAAAGTGATTCATGTCTACTGCTCTACAGAATTAATTGTTTGCATGATTAATACCCCAAGAGTACACAGAGAATTCTTGTCTGTCACTGGCTGATAAATCCTCCATGGTGATTATTCGTTTAATAATATCTCAGATTAATAGCATTTTTGTACATTTAGGAATTTTGCAAAAATAGTTGTGGTCTATCTTTCAGCTGGAATGAATGGCTAAAATTGCCTGTGAAATATCCGGATTTACCACGGAACGCTCAGGTTGCTCTCACCATCTGGGATGTTTATGGACCTGGAAAAGCTGTGCCAATTGGAGGAACTACAGTCTCACTTTTTGGAAAATATGGGTAAGCTGTCTTCCTCCTGATTTCCAATATGGTTGCTGAAATGTGCTTTCTCACGTGGTGAATGGTACTATTGCTTCTGCACTGTTTGAGTCTTTCTTTCTCTTTGGATCACTAGAATTTTTGAGTATAATATTTATGTTCTCCTTTTTCTGCCACCCACAAACTAGTATGATCAAAAACTGGATGAATATGTTACAAGTGTTTTTGCTTGCACATTTGTGGCATAGCTACAACTGAAGATTCTCAGAATAGCCACTCCATTATAATAAGAATAGAAAAGATGCAGCATTAATTCTCCAGATGTTTTTCCAGAGGATGAAGGGTTTGTTATGAAGAGAGACTTTCAGAAGTTGAAACGTTTTTATATTAGAGTTGAGAAGGTTGAGGGAAGACATGATCTAAAGTTTGCAAGTTTTATGAAGGGTGATACATATAAAATATTTCTGCTGGTTGGCAAGACTATAATGAAAGGGTTCATAATTAAGGGTTCTGAATTTTTATTTTAACTGATAAACCCTGATTAAACTAGTTATCTTCTATTAGTTTTGTGTACAATGAGGCAGCTGAAATCGTCATGCATGCATTTGTCACCTCCCGCCTGGATTACTTAATCGCACTCCTCGCCGGTCTCCCCAGCTCCATTATTCAAAAGATCCAGCTGATTCAGAACTCTGCTGCTCGCATACTTACCCAAGTTTTGTTGTTCTTAAACTACGGATTTAAAAATAAATGTCTGTCATAACTTTCAACTTAACTCCGAGGTTACGTTGTTTCCCGCTTTCTGGCTCTCTACGGCCTCCTGTTGTGTCAACACACGTGCGTCGCTTTCTGCTGCTCCCTCCTCTGTTTCGCGCACGCACATCTGGTAAAGTGTTTGAGAGGAGGGAGGTGCTGGACATGCATGAGGGTGCCTCTTTCCTCTCCATGTGCGCAGGCAAGTCCTCTTAGAACAGCAATGAAGCCCCCCCCCACAAATCCCTGATTTATAAGACTAAAATTGCTTAAAAAATAACCCCTCAAAATCAGAAGCCCTGCATATAATTTAAATTACAAGTGGAATGAGTTTAGAAAATGTCTTCCCACAGTGAATGGTTGGATTTAGGAATTCCTTGCCCCACAGCATGGTTGAAGCAGAGTCCATTGATTATTTTTCCAAACCAAAAGGAATTGCTTAGATGCTTCAAGCATATAGGTATTTCAGGTTATGGTGAAGTGCCGGAGAGTGGAATTACCTTAGGTGACAAATGTGGAGAAAAGACTTTATGAGCCAAATGGCTTGGGAAGTAACTTTTTGTAAACCACTTCTACTCATGATCTAGAATTGACTGAGAAATGATAAGTATACAGTGGAGCTCAGTGGCTGTTCAGTGGATATGCTACAACCAATTTAGCTCATCCACCAGAGCAAACAACTTATCAGTTCCCTCTTTTTCCCCCTGCTCCCCGCCAGGTACTCATCTGCATTCTTCCCCTTCAAACGTTTGACATAATGTATTGTGTCTTTCCTCACAAAATAAGGGTTTCGCACACAAAATTTTGTCAATTCACTTTACAATATATTCTGTGAAGCACTTTGAGATGTTTCGAAGATGTGATAAGGCACTATATCAAATGCAACTATTTAAGGCACTATCAAAAGTAAATCACGTGAAAGCACTTTGGGTTTTCTGTAAAGTATAGTGACTATGAGTGTTAGCAAATGCAGTATCCAATTTGTGCACAGATATGTTCCACTAACAGCCATGAAGTGAATGAGTAATTTTATCTGGGAGATTGTTAGCCAAGACATTGGGAGAAACTTTGTTCCCTTTTCAAATAGTGCAGTGCGACTCACCTGAAAGATATAATTCCCTTTTAAATTATATGATGGTATCAGTCACTCATACTGTATTCTAATTTCTAGAATTATACAAGTAATTAAACATTTTCCACATGTATATAGTATGTAATGGACTAAAAGTTTTGTGGTTCAGAAATGGTGACCTTTATATATTCTAAAAGTTGAAATAAAATCCACCCGATTTTATGTCTGCTCTTGACTAATTCATTTATTTTTGTTTCTCTCAAACTATCCTGTCTGTTTTGATGTTGGGATTAAAGTTATGCTCTTCCTTCAGATTGCGCGTGTTAGAAATAAACAATTTGCACATGATTGTGGGCTGTGAAGTATTATTGTAATTGAAAGCTATGAATGACTCAGAATCTTGTGAGCCATCATGTGAGTGACCTCCAGTGCTTTACGTTTAAACTGCTTGTCTTACCAAGCATTAGAGCATCGATGTTGTGCTACTTATCATTCAGGCTTATTATTTTGGGTAGCGTTCCCAGTTTTATTTCACATGTTAGCAATCAGAATTTTCTTTTATGTCTTCGGCTTTCAAAAGAACTGTTACGTATTCAGCCCTGGATCGCATATTCTCCTTCAAGCATTTCTCCATTTAATAAATTGAAAGTGCTGAAACTTTTCACTCTTACAATGCTGATAATGCCCACAAGCATCCAAAATTGGTTTTATATGATTTTTTTTTTCTCTCTCCTGTTTCCACACCTCAGGAGGATTCTATAACTGATCATTTTGTTTGAGATGGTAGGCAGGAATAAATGTGTAATCTTCTAAAAATAAGTCAGGATATATCACTATTTCAAACATTTGTTTTCGTTTGACAAGTCTTGTTTGTATAAACAAGCATCCAATGAACATGAGTAGGATTCCTACTTTTATTTGAGAAGCTTTCATTACTAGTTTGTGACTTGTCAGTTTTAACCAAACAATCCTTAAGTATTGTTAGCAGCAGTATACTATTGGCTAATGGTAGCGAGTTTTATTTACTGGTTGTCTTGAGCGAAGTCTAAATTTGCTACATAACAGATTTTTTCAGGATTTAATAGATGTCCATGTGACTGAAGCTCACAATGAGTCCCGTTGATGCCTCAATTAGATGAGGATGATGAACCTTTAGCTATAATTCAATTGAAGTTGGCAGTAATCTATCTTCTTTCATGCTCTTAATTTTGCAGCATGTTCCGGCAGGGTATGCATGACTTGAAAGTATGGCCAAATGTTGAGGCAGATGGTTTTGAGCCGACTAAAACGGCGGGCAGGACCAGCAGCAATGCAGCAGAAGATCAGATGAGCCGTCTAGCAAAGGTAAGAATTGTGCAGTTAGAGGAGAGAAAAAAGTTTTGAAAAATGTCCCTGAGAACTAGAACAATTTGTGATATGACCTGTACTAAAAGAAATGTCTTGAATTCCATTGCATTTATTCAGCGGATGTGAACCTGATCAGAAAACTTCTGTAATTTGAGCACTTTTTATGGTTATGCAAGATCCTTTCAGTGGATGTAAAATCAGTGGAGTTGGCATTTAAAAGGAGTAGGTAGCTAGAACTTGGTCATTTTTTACACTTGTATCTGTTAAAATATGTAATGTCAATTGTAGTTTAGAATGGCCATACAGTTGAACTTCATAATTCACCCACAATAATATTTTGCTCACAAATATACAGTCAATTCACTTTACAGTATATTCTGTGAAGCGCTTTGAGACGTCTAGAAGATGTGAAAAGCGCTATATCAAATGCAAAGATTATTATTATAATAAGGTAGTAGTTGGTAATGCAGATAATTCCACTCTAACTGGATATATTAGAGGATCAGCTGGTCCACAGTGCACCCACCTGCCTTATAAGTGATTCTTCTGTATCAAAACACTATCAATCCAGTAGTAGGTTGATGTATTTTTTTTAGGAGCTGTAACTGAAGTAAACATATGCTTAGAACAGTGATGCCTATGGATTACAATTTGTACCAGATATCTAGCTGCTAAAAATAAGAGGAATGTTACATTAAGTGCTTGTTAGCTTTTTTCCTGCAATTTAATACTGAAAATGATGCCGTTCGCTTCAAATAATGATTAATTTTCAATTTGAAATTCAGTTATTTTCCAAAGTATTCCTTTGAAGTTTGGGTAATTAGAACATATGGAATGGGCGGGGAGTGAAGAAAAGCAGTGGAGGGGAAAACTCTTACCAAATGGCTATGTTCTGCAAAGAACAATGGGGTATCCATTGCCACAAATAATTGCTTATAATAAAACTTGCATTTGATATAGCGCTTTTCACATCTTCTAGACGTCTCAAAGTGCTTCACAGAATATACTGTCAAGTGAATTGACTGTATATTTGCGGCAAAAGCGGAAGCCAATTGCGCACAGCAGTGTCCCACAAACAGTCATGGATTGAAGTAGATGTAGATTCAACTCCATTATGTCTCCATGCAATATGTATTTTGGTTATGTTTGTTACTCCTACCAAAAGATTGGATGAATTTAAATATATAGCCAGTTGAATGCTTTGCACAGTGAGATGATTTGTATGCTGCAGGATGTCTTAAAAGTGAACTGTAGAGTTTAATTTTTACTCTGAGAATGGTTGGGACCACTTCTACTCCTAATAATAATAATCGTGGCATTTGATATAGCGCTTTTCACGTCGGGAGGACGTCCCAAAGCGCTTCACAGAACACACTGTAAAGTGAATTGACTGTATATTTGTGGGCGAACGCGGCAGCCAATTGCGCACAGCAATGTCCCACAAACAGTCGTAGGTTGAAAATGACCAATTTTATTTTTGTTTTTGGTTTTTGGAGGGATTATTATTACTCCTGGACATTTTTGGGAGAAACTACTTTTTCTGTGTCCCCACTAGCCTTTTTGATTCCATGCATAAATGCAAACTTCAAAATGCGTTCTTTAAATTTTGTTGAAATTAATCTGTTATTATGTTATGTGAATAAGGTTGATATGGAACAAGTCTTTAGTGTGCTTTGTGCAGAAAGCTGATGGTGACTGGTAAACTCAGCATATGGTGTGTGCTACCTTTTTTAAACACCCCCTCAAAAAAAACACTGCTGTTAATGTGCTTATGATATTGAATTATTTAATGCAGACAAACTAGGCATAAATGTTGATGCAGTTCAACAAAATGCAATTTTATGATCCAGAATTCCATTCACTAAACTGTTCAGGGTGTATCTGAAAATATTTTTGTAAAAAATATCAGGTTTGCAACTATAACTAAAACTTTCTACTGTTAATATTAAAGACTATGGTTAATATTAAAGACTAAACTGTGTGATTTCTGCAAGAATCTCTTGGTACTTGTATTGTGTGATTTCTCGCAGAAATCACATAGTTTATTTCATTATCAGCAGTTTAAAACCTTCACGTTGTATGTGGAAAAAACAGGTTAGTGATTTTAGTAGGTAATCTTTTTTTCAAAAAATGCAGTTCACCCAAATTTATCCGTGCTTTAAGTGCCTTAAACACATCCTTTCTAACTCAGGCTCCAGACAAGAGACAGTTGGAAAAGGTAAGTATCTGACAGAAAGATGTCTAGTGCTTCCAACAGCACTGTGGCTATGTGTGCATATTGAGGGCTTAAAATAATTGCTTGATGATAATTACAGCTGCATTTTAAAAGGGTAAGGAGGGGGGAATTGTCACTTGAAAGGAAGTAAAATGTCACAAGTAATATGGAATAATCTCTGTTCTGAGGCTGCAAGTGACCTGGCAGATCTCTTCTGAGAATAAAACTAGTTTCCGGCACATCTACTGTCAAACGTTGCTGTTCCGTCAAACAAAATGAAAGGGACTGATCTATTTAAGAAACCATTGAAAATGGACTTCAAGATCCACTATTGGCACTTTTTCCCCTTTTTTTAAAAAAGTTTCTTTCTGTGCTCTTCAGAATAAAAAGTAAGCACTAAATCTTGATGTTTTCTGTGCATGCACATAATTAAAACTTTCTTTGAGCTTACTCAGAACATCATAAGATGTGCACAATTATAAATACCCGTTTTATAAGAGGTATTTTGAGTTCCTGCTCCATTCATGCTATAACTAGATGCATTCTAAACACATTTTAACCAATTTAGAGTTTATCATCACTGGAAATTATTGAAAAGATAAACTGCCCAAACACAGCTTAGTGTAAATCTTTCATTTGAGCATAATGTCTGGGTATTGTTTAGGTTCAGTGGAAGAGTCTTTTCATTCTAAAGCCTTATCTGCCCCCCGCCCCCCACATAGATACCTCAGTTCTTCTCATTATAAAGTGACATTTGTATGCTGTGTCTGCAGCAGACCTCTGTGCCGTGGGTCTATCTTCAGTGTCCTGTCATGTTAAGTCAACTAACACTCCTAATGTGGGACGCAGCTGGTATTGCCAGGGTCAGAATCCAACATTAGGAAGGTTGCCAGACTACAGGCATCCTGATGAGATTGTGCACTGGAAAGAAAACATGCAACATAAATAGCAGAATCTAACTTTGAAACATTCAATATCTAGTAAGTAGTTTGCTCCTTTGAAATGTTTACTGCTGAGAAATTCTAACCTTTGGTAGAAGGCAAGGAATGTTTCTTGTCTCATTCAAATTCTGTTTCTTCCCCCACAACCGTGCAAGTGTTTGTCTAACTGAGTCTGACTGCTTATTTGCTCTTCATTGGGCACAGCTGGGTTTCATGATTAACCTTTTTGGGATCAGAACTTGTTGCTTCGAGTTCTTTAGACAAAAAACTCTAATAATTAACATTAAAATATTTAGCGCTTCAAGATGTTTCTCCTCGGGGAAAGGAAAGGTGGTATATAAATGGAAGTTGTTATATAAGTGCATGCTTGAAAAGATGACTGCATTAATTTAACACACTGAAATGTGACATCGCTTCCTGGCTTATTACTAACTTGCATACTGTTTTTTGGAGGTTGCTTTGTATTTAGTGTCAGACTACTTTTTTTAAATAACCACTTTTTTGTGTGTTTTTTAAAACTACCGATTTTTGATCTAAGCAATGGGCTCATTGCATCAAGTATTGAACTGAAGTGTGTGTAGGCTAAATCGTGAGTGGGTCAGCTGATTGTTTGGGGACTGAAATATGAAGTAGCTTAACCTAAATTATGTATTTTACAGTGTGCAAGTGAAATTCTGAGGATCTTTTTAAATGTTCAACTTATTTTCTAATTCTGCATTATCAATTTTGAACCAGATACATTTCCAATGGAGTTCAGTAGCATTTTAGAATGTGAATCCGTTCATGTTTGGTATCGAAACTCTGCCACTTTTACCCAGCGTAAATCTGTGAGCCAGTGGATATTACTGTGGAGCCCTAATTCTGATACACCTTTGTATCAATCATGAGTCTGACCTGCATTGGAATAAATTACCATGCAACTGAGCATCTGAAGAGATCTCAGGAGCAGTATGATTGCCCAACTGCCGTACAGAGGTGGTGGGTACGGTACAAATTGGTTTTTACTATTGGGTCCATTGAATTACCAGGACCATTTTGACAATTATTTTAATGTTATAGATCCAATAATAATAATCCCTGCATTTGATATAGCGCCTTATCATGTCGTTCAGACGTCTCATAGCGCTTCACAGAATAGAATACTGTAAAGTAGATTAACTGTGTGGGCGAAACGCGGAAGCCAATTGCGGACAGCAGTGTCCCATTAGTATGTAATTATTAGGATATGGGTGGGTGGTGCAGGCAGGGCCAGTATTAATTGCCCATTCCTGATTGCCCTGAGGAGGCGGTGAGGCCTTCTCTTTAAACCCCTGCAGCACTTGTAATTAGTTCAGTAAAACAATTGGCTCAATTTCAAAATGGAGCATCTGTGTAGAATTCTCAAATTGGGTGTTTGTATTTTTAATAGCCCAGACGTGTGGGGAGAAATCTCAATGGGGCATTCTGCTCTGCTTTGATCACAGCAGTGTGAAGACAGTGTTAAATTCTTTTTTTGCAAATGCGGCATACCAGAGTTTTAATGTTATTAGCTGCTTCCTCAAGAATGTTTTCTAATCTAATTTAGATTTTTTTTCCATGCTCTTAAACTTGTCTTCAGTATTCACATGTAAGATTCGTGGTTAAATCTCAAATCTTAAGAAGTTTTAAACTTTGAATGTGTTGCAAAGTTCTAAACATATTAGATATAGAGATCCTCAAATTGAAGGTAAATGGGAGTAAGCCACTTTTTCTGATGAGACTGGTGTACATTGTTTTTTCAATAAGGTACTGTACAACTTTTACAGTACTTTATCATAAATGTGATTTGTTTCCAAGGGAATTCAGTGAACATTGGCTTGAAAATGGTGGTTCCGTGCATTGGGTTATGATGAATTGAGATTTATAAAACAGCTGCAGCTAAGTTGTTTGGTTGGAGTGCCTAATGTCATAACACCTGAAAACCCTTCACATAATGAATATAGTTAAGCAACTTATCTAGACTAAATGGAAGTGGAGAACATGGAAGGAGGCTGACAGTGGTTGTTGCTAAATGGATAGGATGGAACATGCTAAAGTATGTTGAAACAGGCTTCGAGATTTCTCTTCCCTCCTTATTTAATGTGCCCAAAGAGTGACAATGGCAATAAACTGAGCAGAATTGACAACATATTGGATTGCATTGACTAAAACTGAGCCTGGGTCTCCTGTTTCTGATAACCTAGATTTGCAGACAATGTGGTAGTTTAAATCTGCAAATGTCAAGCTGGGTGAAGGGAATTCTGGAATCCTTGGAGTTGGTCAAATTCTTACAAAGAGTACTGATCACTGGCAAATTAACATCAGTACAGAGAAGTGAAAGGAACAGCATATTAGAAGTTGATAGCAGATACACATATCCTAAATGGATAGGAGAGAACATGTTAATGGAAATAATGCAAAATGCAACAATAAATTAGGTAAGTCAGATATTTGGCTACAGAGACTAGTAAACTTGAGTTAAATCCTATAGGTATATAGGTTGCTTATAGAATAAAGTAAACCCAGAACAGTATTTTTGGATCAACATGAGTAAAGGTAGTCACTGTGACTGTGGAGTCCTGTAGCTCAGTGGTTAGAGCATTCACCTTGCAAGTTTCCTTACTCCACACGCCTGATAATAATCCCTCAAGAAAAATAAATAATAATAAAAATTGGTTCCTTCAATCCATGACTGTTTGTGGGACACTGCTGTGTGCAATTGGCTGCTGCGTTTCGCCCACAAATATACGGTCAATTCACTTTACAGTATATTCTGTGAAGCTCTTTGAGACATCTCGAAAAAGTGATAAAGTGCTGTATCAATTGCAAGGATTATTATATTCATACTGATTCTGTTAAGGGTGTTAAGTAGCGCAACCTAATTGCAAAGTGAATGAGTGACTGCAAAACTGAAGCCATCTTATTCAGCTCTCACCTGCTCCTTCTTGTCTCAGGAGCTGACTCGATCAAACTCCCTCATCATTCTGAATGATCAGCTTATATCCCCCCCACCTCTTCCAAATATATCCCCGACTTTAAAATATATTGGCTGTTTGTCTATGGGACATTGCTGATGAAAATATCTGTTTATATAATGCAAGTTTATTAACTGAGCCAATGTGTTATGCTTGAGCACCACCCCTCACTTAGCTTTCCATTAAACACTACATCCCAGGCTTGGAACCAAAGTATGTGCTTCTATCTGAAATGTTGCGTATATGTGCTCATAACTCACCCCCTACCTCTGCAGCTGAAACGTTCATCTATACCTTCAAGCCTCAAGCTTGGACATCTCCAATGATTTCCTTGCTGACCTCCTTCCACAAACTCCAGCTTATTCAAAGCAGCAGCTTATACCCACTTCACACTCATTACCCCACCCTTGCATGGCTCCCTGTACCCTATTGAATTCTTGTCTTTGTTCACGCTTTCTGCTGCTCCTACTTTGACTTGTTTCTCACTCCTTCACACTTTTTTCCCCTCACTCTCAGGAACTCTCCCCAAATCATTTGCCTTGCCCCATCCCAATCCCTCTTGAATCTTTGCTTTGATCAGCTCTCTTGAATTCTCCTTCCTTGCCCTATTCATTGCTCACTGTTGTCTCTGAAAAGCTTCGGGATATGCATTCATCATGAAAGGTGTTGTTCATGTATGTCAAGCTTTGGATTACAAAATAATTTGGTTAGTTGATGGTCTTTATTATTTTAATAAAACGCAAAATAGTTGTTGTTGCTTATTTTAATGTTCTCCTTCCCCTAAAGCTCACCAAAGCACATCGCCAGGGTCACATGGTGAAGGTAGATTGGCTGGACCGGCTTACGTTTAGGGAAATCGAGATGATAAATGAGGTAAGCTGTGCCTGAGAGAAGTCAGCACAGTAATACTGTTCACATGGAGTTAAATTTGCATGGCATGGAATGACTTTAAATACTGCAAAATATGTTTAACATGTTCTTTCTGTATGACAAATTCAATTTATAAAGTAGATTGTTGCAGAACTTTGTCATTAGAGCTTTGCGATAAACTCAAATGAGCCTGAAAGCTTGCTGTGCCTTCTGAGTTGTGCTTATATTTATTACATTTGATTGCGCCTTACATTAAGAGACACTATTTTTGTTGCAGAGTGAAAAGAGAAGCTCTAATTTCATGTACCTCATGGTTGAATTTCCACGTGTCAAGTGTGAAGATAAAGAATACGGTATCGTTTATTATGAAAAGGTTTGTTCTTTGTTTGTTGCTATCTGGATATTATTTGCCAGATTACTTAATCATTACAGTTCTTGTCTTTTTGAGCAGAGCATTCTTCTGTTAACAATAGATTTGTGGTAAAATGTTTGTAATTCCAATTGTAGGATTTTCACTGACGTCCTGATAGAAGTGAGTTAATCTCTTCCAGTTGTAAAGCAGTTGGGAATGAGAAGTCTGACTTAGACTTCCTGCTACTTGTTGCATTAGATGGGAGGTCGGGAGAGTTTTGCTTAGAAATCCTGTATTTTTTAATTAAACGCTGGCTGTGTGGCTGGCTCCCTAATAACAAAAAGTTCTTGGGCTCCAGCACTTTTCCTTTGGGATTATACTGCTTAGTCCCAAATTATACTGCACATTTTCAATGAGTATCTATGGGGGAGGAAAACAAAGTAATGTTAATGTGGCATTACACTTCCTCTTATCTTAAAGGTAGCTGTTTTAGATGTGCTAGTTATGCAACTGGAACATGCAAATTATTCATGCCTACAATAATTCTCCAATAATTAATTATATACTGTACTTGAATAGCTCGTATCTTGTCTGATGTTAAAATCTCCATTATCCAATTAATTACAACTTCATGGGCGTTCTCATTTCATCAGATGTGCAATTTAAAGACACCGTGTAAAAGGATGTGATGAAAAGGGAATTAGAATAAGTTGCCAGCACTGATGGAGAGTTCAGTGCTCTGAGATGTTACCTCACGTGAAGTGTGCTGTACAAGATGTTGAGTTGGCAGCACTATTCTACTTGGACGTGGCTTCCTTTTCTGTAATTTCTATTATTCTCTTGAAATTTGCTTTTAAAAAATCTGGAAGAGGTTATTAGCAGATGGAATGTCTTTCAAGCCACCTATACAGTTGAAGTCTGTATTGTAAATGAGCACAATGGACTTTTTGCCCACAAAGTACAGTCAATCCTCTTTAAATATCCTAAGCCCTTTGAGATGTCTCAATGACATGATAAGGTGCTATATCAAATGCAAGGATTATTATTATTTTCAGATACCTTCCAGACATGAAGACGCTATACAAGTGTAAATTATATTGGGTCACTTCTAGTTACTTTATTATAATAATGATCTTTGCATTTTATATAGCACCTTATCACATCTTCAAGACGTCTCAAAGCGTTTCAGAGAATATATGTAAAGTGTCAAAAGTCAAAAAGATTTGACTTTTTATGGCAGTTTCTAGTAACTTTAATACATAATTGAAGAAAAGTTGATTTTTTTCTAGTTTGCTTGAATAAAAGATTCATTACAGCTTGACTAGATGTATCTGAGTGTGTGCGTGTATTTTTATATAATATACGCACAATAGGACTGATGTTCGTTTTGACAAGCTAAATGTATAGGCAGTCTCTTATAGGATGCCATTACTAAACAATTACTGCCATTACTGGACAAAGATTTGACTTTTTTTGACAGTTTCTAGTAGTAACTAGCAGACCAGTTTACTTCTGTTTTATTTAAATGCTCTTTTGCCCAGGATGGTGATGAGTCATCCCCAAATCTAGCCAGCTCCGAGATTGTCAAAGTGCCAGATCCTCAAATGTCCATGGTACGTGTGAGATTTCAAAATAACTTTTTATACCTGAAAGCAATGTAGCCTTTTAGTGTTTTGTCTTTTCTATTTCTGCCTTATAAACTTTACGTTCAAATAGGTTAAACTTGATGTTACCTGTGCAATTATGCATAGCAGTGTTCCAAACAGTTGTGGATTCAGTGACCAAATTTTTTTTTGAGGGATTCACATCAACAAGATAGTGAAGCAAGACTTGTGAGGTTGGGCGAAGAGGTGGCAGAAGCTTTCTTCTGAAGGGAAAAGAAATGTAACTAAACTAATGCCACTGGGGAAATAAGGAAATAATCCTTTTTTAAAAAAATAGCTTCAGGAGATACAAGGAAACAAAAAAAAAAGTAAAAAGTAATCTTACAAAAAGCAATTGAAATTATCTAAATTATTGAAGGATGTAAAAGGACTTAAGTTTGTAAAGGTGGTAGAAAGAAAGGGGAGTATGTGTGAATTAATTCGCCCATTTGTTTTTGTTAAAAATAGGTTTAGCATTTGTCATCTAGTGTTTCGGATTTGTTGCAGAAAATCAATTTATTTTGTTGTTGTTGCAATGTTCTTACAAGGCTACATTTGCTTAAATTATAAAGTGAAATTGGTGATCAAGAATGTTTGTTGTGGATGACGAGCTTTACATTTAATTTTTAAATCATTTAATATTTTAATGCAAGGAAATGTGATATTGCAAGCTAAAAATGGTCTGTTAAGCAGTATTGAAATAAAAATGAATACTTCTCTCCATTTGTAGGAGAATTTAGTAGAAAGTAAGCATCATAAACTTGCTCGAAGTTTACGAAGCGGGCCATCTGATCATGACCTAAAGCCGAATGCTGCTACCCGTGACCAGCTTAACGTAAGTACGGATGTTACAGTTTTCTGACTAGATTTAGAAACACATGGGATGCTTTCTTTCAATAAAACAATTTCTTCAAAATATTGCCATATGCATACATATAGGAATGGGAACATTCCCAATCATTACAGCATCTACCTAAAGTTTGCATGTTTGAACAACAGCAGATAGTATCTGGTTCCAAGGATTCTGACAACCAACCATTTCATATGATCAAGTGACTTGGTGAAATTTTAACAGTTCTAATTTATCTTTTTTGTTGCTAATCTTGGAAGATTGCTCCAGGTCAGGTTGTGTTTTGTTCTATTTTCATTTTGTGGATAGTACGTTTCACATTCACAAGGATTCTCCTTGTCTCCAGATTCAAGCAGTGCCACAGAGTGTGGGATGGACTGAGGTTATCTTAGTGGGTATGAATGTTCAGACTATTTTAACTTGCAAATGGGCTTTTAAATCGTTTGACTGGCAACCTGAAGTAATGCAAAGGATGAGTTGTGAAATCTTGTGAGTTTTCTTTTACATGTGAAATTTGTTTAAACCACTGCTTTCTCATTATCCATTAAATTCCAAATGGTTCCAATTTATTCAGTTGCTGAGCAAGATATGAAAAGCGCTATATCAAATGCAAGGATTGTTATTATATTAATATTTTTTAACTAATAGAATTTAAAGATGGGTTCACCATATTTTAAAGAAAAAAATTACCTATTTCCAAGAAGTTTTTTAAGAAAATATGAATCTCACTGTAAGATGAACAACAATGTTTGCTATTTAGGTAGTGCTATTAGAATGAGCACTGAGGGTTTCTTTGACTCAGAAGCCAGGAAAAGCAACAACAAAATTAAATTTGTATAGCACCTTTCACATTGGGAGGACGTCCCAAAATGTTGCACAATCAGTGTTTCAGAAAAAGACACACTCCAGATTGTCGGGTAAAATGTAGGACTATCATTCCATTGTGCAGCACTTTGTTTAAATGTTAATGTTAACCTCTGGGATTTTTTGTGCCACAGTAGCAGTTGACTACTCAGTGAATTGTATGTTCATTTTTTGAAAATGTTAAATTTTTCTAACTCTGCTTTGTGGTATGCCTTTTGCCCCTAGCCATCTAATTGCTGAATTGCTGCTCTGATTGTGGTTGTGGAGGTTTCTCTCTGGTAGCTTGCTCAAGTATCTATTGTTTGTGTGAGCCTTGGACCCAGATCATTTCTCTTGTTAAGATTCTTGCCACTCGGCTATAGAGAGGGTTGCAGTCAAGAGAACGAGCCTACATCTTTTCACCCGGCTGCCGCATGTGAATTATCAGTAGATGGTGCTAAAGAGCGATCAGAGCAAGGTTGAAAATGCTGGGGCTCATTTTAATTCCCCTGGCTGAGATCACAAGCCTCACCTCAGACTAGATTCGAGCAGATGAGCTCCCATTTTATAAGCGGCAGCTCTCTCCACTACACCATTGCCCCTGTAATCTATCTTTCTTTATATTTTTCCATTTTTTAAAAATAATCCTATTCCCATTGAATGAATACAAGCATTGAGGTTTACTTACAATAGGAAGCTGCTGTGAACCTTTCATCTCAAATTAATAATGTACATTATTGGTGATCATATTACCTCTTTCTACCCTTCTGAATTCTTTATAAACTTGTGGGGTAAATTCCACCTGGGTCTAGATTTACAATAATTCTTGTGTTTTGTAGAGCTTGTCATAGAGCTTCATAGGATTTATTGTAGTTTAGTGACTATTTTGTAGTCAAACTGGAAGGCAAAATGTGCAATGACCCACAAACAGCCATGAAGTGACCATTAAAATTGATCTGGGAAAGTATTATCCAGGACACCAGAAGAAAGTAAGGAGTCCTGTAGCTCAGTGGTTAGAGCACTCGCTTTGCAAGTGAGAGACCCGAGTTCAATTCCAGGCAGAGGGCGAAACCTTGGGCAAGTTTCCTTACTCCACACACCTAATAATAATCCCTCCAAAAACAATAATAAAATTGGTCATTTTCAATCTATGACTGTTTGTGGGACATTGCTGTGCGCAATTGGCTGCCGTGTTCACCCACAAATATACAGTCAATTCACTTTACAGTGTGTTCTGTGAAGCGCTTTGGGACGTCCTCCTGACGTGAAAAGCGCTATATCAAATGCAAGGATTATTATTATTATCCAGCGTCATGGGATTTTAACATCCACCTGAACAAATAGATAGATCCTTGGTTTAATTTCTCATCCAAAAGGAAGCACTTTTGACAATGTGCACACCAGTAATGGAAGATTAACTCTGTTAATGAAGCATTTCAGATTATTCAGAATTTCACAATTTGTTGAATTTGGTCTTAACTGTGAAGCTGTTTCTCTGTAGTTAAGATTTTTTAAGGAAGCGAATATGCTATGCTTATACACAGTGAATAGTTACAATCCAATATTCTGATTAGAATGGGTATGCATTTTAATATTACTTGCAAGTTGATCCGTTTAAAATATTTATTTTGGAACCTATCCAACTACAATCTTTAATGTGCAAAGTAAAGGGTGTGATTTCATTCTGAGTATCTGTAGGATTTGTATTTAAATTTATATTTTATGTTTCAGATTATTTTGAGTTATCCTCCCACTAAATTGCTGTCCTCTGAAGAACAAGACCTTGTCTGGAAATTTAGATACTATCTCACAAACCAAGAAAAGGTGAGTTCTAGAACATGATTTGGGAGTTGCAAAGATCTCTGATTTGGCAATTTTTTTTTTGTTGTTTTTGCTTGTTTGCAAAATAACTGTTTGTTAAGAAGCCATTGTAGAATGCAACGTTTTTGGTGTCTTGAGCAAAGCTGACTGAGAAAAGTATCTTGCAAATGTTGTTTACTAGCTTTCTAATGGGAAATAGGGGTGAAGGTTTTTAATCTTTTTAATCCTGCAAATATCATAATCCTGTTCCTGAATTTTCAATGCTGGATTTATTTTTCTGTGAAAAGTTCAATGCTCTCATAATTCAGCTGCAGTGTACAAATTGCTGTTGTCTATTGCCCCCATGCATTTATTTGTGGCTGGGGAAATAGCGGCTTCTGGATGTTGAACACTTAAGTGATCAAATCATCATCCTCATTTCTCGTACAAGAAAAGTTTCCAACAACCAAACCTATAAAGAATGATTTCGTACAATTCTAAAATGTCACCGGCAGCTTCTCAGTCTGGTACAGGACAAAATTCTCTCCTTTTTTGAGTTGCAAGAACTTGCATCCCAGTGTATTTGTTATGTAAAGTATTGCAGTGTCTACTAAGGATCTAACATGTTCATAACACAAGTAAGAAAAAAAAGCTTGCGTAATAAAAATGGCAGATTCTAAAATAAACGGTAAGCACTTGGAAATGCAAGCCAAGGCTATCATTTATCAAAATGCATTCAACTGAATGAGATTCTCTTATGCAGGCATTGACTAAATTCTTGAAGTGTGTAAACTGGGACTTGGCCCAAGAGGCTAAACAAGCCTTGGAACTGCTGGGCAAGTGGAAGCCAATGGATGTGGAGGATGGACTTGAATTACTTTCCTCACAGTTTACTAATCCAACCGTACGACGCTATGCGGTTGCCAGGTTGAAGCAAGCTGATGATGAGGTACAAATCGTAACGTGTTGCAGTTCGGATATCTTAAAAAAAGATATACTGCAAATATAAGAGAGCTGACAGCAGAGATGTGATGTGTTATACTTTTGATTTTTGGAGCTCATGCCATAAATACAGATGATGTATGCTATTTTTATAAAACATAGATAATTCTCTGTATTTTGCCTTTTAGAAGTAATATTTCTTAGATGGTAGTTCACTTTACCAAAAAAAGAAGAATTTGGGATTACTAATCTTCCTCATTCTTTTAATATAATTTTAACTTTTTCTCTCTCTGTGTCTACTTTCTTATATGGCTTGTGTGTCTCTAACCAAATTGTGTCTGTGTACTTTTAATACAGGGTTATATATTTTAGTTTAATTTGAATTCTTAAGCAGTTTTTGAACATGATAATTATGCCAATTGGCACGATGATTCTGAGATTAACACACAAATCCTGCGAAAATTCAGATGTCCGAATCATAGAATATACAGCACAAACTATCCATTTGGCCAAAATGTCTCTACACAAGCCACCTAGTCTAATCTAACTCTTCTGCTCACTTTCTGAGTCTTTTAATTTTTTTCAAGGATATCCCTTTTAAAATTGATGCACTTGGCTTCAGCACTTTTTATATGACAAATGAACAGAAAATGTCATATTCCAACCGTACAATAGGTGTAGGTGGTACTGATGTTAGTATTTGTCACTTATGACTTTTATAAGGTTGAAAGATTTATGCTGTTTGGATTTTTAAAAAAGATAAATTGATAGATTTTTATTCAGATTCATTAATGAAAACTTTTTTCATAGGATTTGCTCATGTACCTGCTACAGCTTGTGCAGGCTCTGAAGTACGAAAACTTCAATGACATAAAAGTTGGATTAGAGCCCAGTAGAAAAGAAAACAGTCAAATGGCAATGTCTGAAAGCATGTCTGGCTCAACAGCAAGTGCTTCTGAAATGGAGAGGTGAATTTTGTTTCTGTTTATATAGTTCTCATGGTTTTATTTGCCCATATAGCATTCCGTATTCATTTAGAATTATTTTATAAATTCTTACGATTCATATGTTGGAGTGGCTGAAACTTTAAACTACTCATTTACCGGGGTTGGATGAGTCATCAGGCTTGATTTTTCTATGCTGTAACTTCTTTGGTTTCTATGATTCTAGGTTCTAGATTTACTACATACTAGCACTCCTGATTTCCTACACTGGGGAAACTTTTGCCTTATTGTACAATTTTACAAACTGTAAACTCCTTTGGATATAAGTTCCAATGTGAGATTGCCAGGTAGGAGGTGGTATACTTGTAGCTTTGTCAGTACATAACACTCCATTTCCCTTGACATTTCGGACTCCAAATGAATGCAGGAATTGGTTACAGTTATTATGCTAAGAGGATATCTATTAGTGGATTAAAATTCCCTTTAGGGTTCGAATCAGTGTTGTTCTCAACACCTTTTCTAATGCAAATGTAACATTTCAATATAATAATGTGATGTGAAAAGCTTCAATATGAAGCAGTGGCACTGATTAAAAAGTACCTTTTCCTATCTGCATAAGATCAATTTCAGTATTGAATTCATGAAATATCTTTGCTCATTCTTCATATCCATTCTGTATTCTCCCATTTGCTTTGCAAAGATTTTTAATATTGTTGATTGCTGATTACTGGTTGCAATCATGGTTTGAAAAGCTTGTATTGCAATATGTTCATTCAAACATTTCAACTTTATTCTTTTTGTAAGTCTGAAATAGGCCATGTTTATTGTTGACCAAAGAAAAACATGTTCTATACTTTGTTTAATTAAAAAAGTTCAGTACTCTAATTTTCAGTAAGCATCTACAGAGAATAGTTTTTTTGTTGGTAAGCCAGGTGTTTAATCCTTGCATTTGATATAGCGCTTTTCACGTCAGGAGGACGTCCCAAAGCGTTTCACAGAACACACTGTAAAGTGAATTGACTGTATATTTGTGGGCGAACGCGGCAGCCAATTGCGCACAGCAATGTCCCACAGTCGTAGATTGAAAATGACCAATTTATTATTGTTTTTGGTTTTGGAGGGATTATTATTAGGCTCTGTGTGGAGTAAGGAAACTTGCCCAAGGTTTCGCCCTCTGCCTGGAATTGAACTCAGGTCTCTCACTTGCAAAGTGAGTGCTCTAACCACTGAGCTACAAGACTCCACGACACGTGCTTAAGAGTATTCAAATCAAACAGTGTACAATGCATCCCACCTACACATGAAAATTCCAGAGATAGATTGGAATGAAATGCGCACTCTCTCTTTGGATTTAGAAGGATGCATTCTGCTGGCCTAATCCTGGAAAGTATTAGTGCAGGTTCGCAGGAGTCAAGGTTTGGAGACCCTGGAGTGCGCATTAAGGTACTGCTGGAGTCTAACCAGCTAAAAACTGCATTGGAGAATAGTAATCTTACAATCTTTCCCTAGGTTAAGATGGACTGGTTACTTAACCGCAAGTGTGTGTTTATTCATCTTCCAATAGGTGATCAAAATCTGTCCTTAGAAAAACTTTATGAAATCCTATAATGTTCTTACTGTGTTTTTGTTTTTTTTGGATTTGGCTGGTGAGCTAAAGTAGAATTGTTTGTTTTCAGAAATATGGACAACAAACCTAATGTATGAAAAATATCTCTTGCAGCTCACAAATAATCAGTCAACCGCCTCCGGTATCTTCTCCACCTCCATCTGTATCAAAAGCAAAAGAAATGTCAGATGGGGAAAACCTAGAGGTAAAGGCATGTGATGCACCTTTTTATTACTGGCGAACTTTGAGCTGATTGTTCTAACTTTTCCTGTGAATAGAATTATCTCGTCACTGTTAAAACAGATATCAGAACTGATTAGTGTTGCAAATAGGTTGTAAATTGCAATTGCGACTACAACCACATCTTAACAGTTTTGAGGACGAACAAATATAATAACTATGATATTTTTACTGTGAAGTTGATCTGGTGACTACTTGCAGGCAAACCTCTACCTGAACAAAATGCTTGCCAAACGATAAAGTGAGCCACCAACAAAAATTTACATTTATATAGCACCTTCCACATCAGGAACACATCCCAAGGCAATGAGCAGTCCAGGGCTTTAGGTTCTGTCGGGAAAAGATAAACTTAGGCACAGTCAAAGAGAGAGTTCATGAAGCAGGCAAGGAAGAAGTGAGTCGTCAGGACTCTAGGATGGAGTTCCAGAGCAGAGGCAGATAAAATATATAATCAGTACACAAATAATACTTGTTCTTAGGACTCCTCAGACTTTTGGTCTGAATCAGTTTGTTTTAGCAATGTCTCTAGCTACACTGCTGTCTACTTCATACTTTTATTTCTGCCCTCCAGTAAGCTCCCAGGTGCAGAATGCACCATGTAAAAACAAACTTCTCAGAAATCCATCTCTTGGATGATGGATGCTCGGAAAATCAATTTGACCAATTTCCATTCCATACCATAAGCCAGTTTACTAATTACTAGAATTTAACTTGCTGAACTCAGTTACTGAGACACTTTTTATTATACCTTAATGCAGGAATATTGCTTCCTTTAGCTTCTATTTAGTTAATACCTTATAATTCTATGAACTGCTGATCAATTGGCTTGCATGTATATCACTAAGTCAACTGTCTGAGGAAACCAAAATGATATGGAAAGTTTTAAAATAAAGCCAGCTGTTTAATAATTTCATCCCTACTAAGTCATCCTATTTGCCTCAGAGCATTATATAGTTTGAGTGACTTGCGGGTATTTGAACTGAACAAAGAAAGGTAACAAGCCTTTATAACAATTTGTCTTTAACATAGATTATCCCTAATAACATCCAGATTCCTGATCAGTTCAATCTGGATAAATATATTAATACTTATGCAAGGAAGAAAACTAAGTAGATGTTGGAAAGGAATAGGATGTTGATCAGGAAAAGGATTAGGCTTTTATTGAAGAAGCAGATGAGCTTGTTCTGCCAAATGGCCTTTTACCTATTCTTATGCTTTGTGTCCTATGTTCAATACACTTTCCCTATCTTTCCCTCATACTGCCAGATTTATTTAAAGAAAACACTTAATGGGGATTCTGTAATTAATAGCAACTATGCAGATCAGTTGTGTCCTTGATGCTGCACATTCGTCCCATCATTGTCTCTATGTAAATTAGTAACTTGATTATTTGTAGAACATTGTTTACTTAATTGGTTTCTTTTCACCTCCTTTCTTTCCTGTCCTCCATCACCCTCCCTATTTGGCAATTTAAAGTTGTAACAGACTATATTATATTGTATATTTAAACTCAGTTTTTCAGAAGGAGAAAATTCTATGTATTACAATGTAGACTGTGAAATAGTTCTAGCTAAATCCCACTGTGATGAATAAATGGTAGCAATAGAGCTGTAAGATGTTTCAGCACAGAAACAGCTTATTCAGTCCATGAAATCTACATTGGTGTTTTTCTCCACATCTGGGCGTAACCTTAGGCAAGTTTCCTTACTCCACACGCCTGTTTTCCTAGCAGTAAGTAGGACCCGGTTGTTGGTTAATTGGCGGATGGCTTTCTGGGGGTAATAATCCCTTTTTTAAAAAAAAATTTGCTCACTCAATCCATGACCGTTTGTGGGATACTGCTGTGATAATACAGTTCACGAACCTGGTCCTTGCCTTCAAAGCCCTTCACAGCCTGTGCTCTGTGACCACCTAAAACCCTATTAACCTATCCACTCCCTCCATTCAGCGGGCTCCAGCCTGCTTCACATTCCCTGCCTTGCCCGTCCCACCATTATCGGGTGGGCCTTCAGCCTCTCTGCCCCCACCCCATAGTCCCTCTGCCTCGCCCCTTCCCTTGCTTCTCAAGACCCTCCTCATTGATCGTGCTTTCGGTCACCCTCCTAACCTTACCCTCCCCACCCTCCACCCCTCCTGATCCCAACCACCTGCTTGGCTACGGATCCCTGATTATCCAGCTCCTTGGGACGGTCTCCTGACGTGAAAGGCGCCATAAAAATGTAATTTGTTGTTGTGAGCAATTGGCCCACAAAATATACAGTCACTGCATTTTACAGTATATTTTGTGAAGCGCTTTGAGACGTCTTGGAGACGTGATAAGACACTATATCAAATGCAAGGATTATTATTATCACTCAGTCTAATTCCACTTTCTGGTTGCTGCCCAAATCCCTTTTGATATTCCTGTTCTTCAAACATCTGACCTTCAAAGAAACTAAATTTATTTCACAGAATCGGCAAGTTTCTGATGTAATCTCGCAGCTCTCCTTGCTTAAACATTGCCTGTTTGTTGTAATAATCNTTTTTTCCCTTCCTGTGCTAGCAAGACCTTTGTACATTCCTAATATCAAGAGCATGTAGGAATTCTACATTGGCTAATTATTTGTACTGGTAAGTTAAATTCTTTTGAGCCTTTTTAAAATTATCTGAATTTTTTTTTGTAGTGCCCATTTTACTTTAAGCCAGTGAGCTCTGCATTAATAATTAGTGCTGGACAAGATGAGCGTTAATTTTAAATTATAAATCTGGAGCTATGCTATAAATTAAAGAAGCTGTTGAAAGAAATTGATTTGAAGCCACAAGAATCTAGTAGCATATTGGTTAGGGCACTCGCATTGCAAGCGAGAGGACCGGTATTATTATTATTATTATCTATGCCTAGGAGGTGGTATTGATGTTTTGTGCAATGGCCCTTGTGGTAAATTACTAATTAAGGGAGGATATTTACCTTTAGGGCTTATGAGCCATATGCTATTTAAATACAAAACCTACATGGGTGCAGCGTGATAAATATGAGACAGCAAATTCAACATGGTCATTTATTCTAAATAACCTGCCCAAATCAGAGTTTAGGAATAGTTTTCACTGGCTGTCAAACAACATGATCTTATAATTCAGGTGTACACTACATATTCTTTGTAAAGCCAGTGGTAATAGTCAGATACAATCTCATAATATTGGGTTTCTAAAAATTGGATATCATCTGTGAAATAAAATTGCATTAATATTACAGCATGGAAACTGGCCAGGCAGCCCAACTAGCCCAATGGAGTCCTGTAGCTCAGTGGTTAGAGCACTCGCCTTGCAAGCGAGACACCTGGGTTCAATTCCAGGCAGGGCGAAACCTTGGGCAAGTTTCCTTACTCCACACGCCTAATAATAATCTCTCCAAAAACAAAATACTAATAAATTGGTCATTTTCAATCCATGACTACCCGTCGGACACTGCTGTGCACAATTGGCTGCTGCGTTTTGCCCACAAATATAAGGTCAATTCACTTTACAGCATATTCTGTGAAGCGCTTTGAGACGTCTAGAAGACGTGAAAAGCGCTATATTAATGCAAGGATTATTATTATGTAACTAGTCCATTACTAGTAAATATTAAATACTTAAATATTTTAAAATGGTCAAACCATCCTATCAATTAGGTTTTCAACAGCATCTTTCTTTCAAATTGAGTAGACAATGTCTATGATTTTTACCGTGGGGGTAAAATGACCAAACCACACTAAAAAAGGTACTTGAGACTGGCCTTGAACGAGAGCAGGGTGGGAGTGAATTGTTGGGACTATAGGATGGAATCCCATAGAGTATAAAGTGGATAGATTATGAGGATTTGACTAAGCCATGAGCAAATTTCCAAGGAGGAAAGAGTTTGATCTAGAAATGAGTCAAGCTGGAAAGAATCTGGGTTAAGGTCAGAGATGCATTTAATTTGGAACAGTGGGCACAATGGGATCTTATTTTAATCACAGACAGATCCAACTGATTTGACTATGAAATATACAGCATATTCTGCGAAGCGCTTTGAGACACCTCAAAGATTTGATAAGGCATTATATCAACTGCAAGCTTTATTATAACTTGCATGGTGGATTTACAAATGTGACTAATTTTATACACCCACTTGTTCCCATTATTTATGAAATTCTCTACCCCAGAAGGCTGTGGATGTCCAGTCACTGAACATGTTCAAGACTGAAATCGATAGATTTTTAAAATCTTAAGGGATATGGGAAAAGGGCAGGTAAATGGAATTAGGTTAGAAGATCAGCCATGATCTTATTAAATGGCAGAGCAAGTTTCAGGGGCCAAATGGCCAACTCCTGCTCCTATTTCTTATTTTCAGTTGGATTGTGTCTAAAGTGTTGTGTATGTATATTTTCCTAAGGTATGTTATTGTAGAATGCGAAGATCAAGATACTCAACAACGTGACCCAAAAACCCATGAGATGTATTTGAATGTGATGAGGCGGTTCAGTCAAGCCTTGCTAAAGGTATTTTATTTAAATTGAACAAGTAAATCGGCTAGAATTTGTTTTGATCTCCTCAGCTTTGGGGATTCTACAACTTGCATTTTCATGTTAAGTAGTCTTGGAAGCATTTTGCAGAGCCACAAGTGAGCTTGAGCATGGTGGGAGTTTGGGGTGGGGGGAAAGCAGGAGGAGTGAGGTGAATAAGACCCTCCCCTCTGACCGACCGTGCCTTCAGCTAATCTGCCTGCCCTCTACCCTCCCTTACCCCAACTCCCCCCCACTCCCACGATTGGGTCCAAATCCCTGACCGACCAGCACCTTGGGACATCCTCCTGACATGAAAGGCACTGTACAAATGTTATTTGGTTTTGTATTGTATTAAAGGCACAGTCAGAGGAGGAGTATTCAAGCAGAGGGGGAGAGGCAAAGGGATATTACTATAGAACAGGTGGGGGGGAAACATTCAATTGGCCTAAATTAGACTGATGGGAGTGGGCTGGGAGATGTAGAGACTTTTGAAAGTTAGAACATGATTCTTAAAATTGATTCAGCAAATTGATTTAATCTGTTGAATAAAATAACTTTTCACCCCAAATAATATTTCCTGCAGAAGGAGGGCTATTCTAGTTTGTGTTTTTTTTCTATCGAAGTTTGATTGCTATTGAAGTTTCCATGAGGTAGTTTTTCTATTATAAAACACTTTCATCTCAACGGTCAGCACCTTATGTTCCCACAGAATGGGTTCAATTCCCGGGCAGGACAGGGCGAAACGTTAGGCAAGTTTCCTTATTCCACACACGTGTCTCTCTTTACCTAGCAGTAATAATAATAATAATAATCCTTGCATTTGATATAGCGCTTTTCACGTCAGGAGGACGTCCCAAAGCGCTTCACAGAACACACTGTAAAGTGAATTGACTGTATATTTGTGGGCGAACGCGGCAGCCAATTGCGCACAGCAATGTCCCACAAACAGTCGTAGATTGAAAATGACCAATTTATTATTGTTTTTGGAGGGATTATTATTAGTAAGTAGGAACCCGCTAGTTAGTCAATTGGCAGATCGCTTTTCTGGGGGTAATAATTCCTCCAAAAAATAATAATAATTTGGTCGCTCAATCCATGACTGTTTGTGGGACGCTGCTGTGTGCAATTAGTTGCCATGTTTTGTCCACAAGATATTCAGTCAGTTCACTTTACAGTATATTCTGTGAAGCACTTTGAGACGACTCGGAAGAAGTGATAAGGCGTTATATCAAATGCAAGTATTACTATTATGCTCTTTTGAAAAGAATGCACAAGAAACTGAAGTGACAAATCTTATTGTAAGATGAGGCTGCTTTGTGGGAAGCAGTATATAATCATCCATTATATTTCAATCAATTTTGTTTCAACCTAGGGAGATAAGAATGTGAGAGTGATGCGCTCACTACTGGCTGCTCAGCAAACCTTTGTAGATCGACTGGTTCACTTAATGAAAGCAGTTCAGCGTGAAAGTGGTAATCGAAAGAAAAAGGTATTTTCACAAAGTTTCTTGAATACAGTAAAGCTGAATAATACAAGGCGAATTTGCTTCGGTTGAGCATGGGTTCACTTGTAGCACAGGTATCCTGTGGAGTACACTGTATTTAGTTTCTGATGCTGACTAACCTGCTTCTTGCCTGTAGCAAATGCCTCCCAGGTTTTGGTTGCTAACATAGCTCCTATTACACAAGATGCATGACTGATATTTTCTGTTCATTTTGCTGGGAGACTTTTCTGAATACAGTATGCAATATTCCTGGTGAATTGTTTTCTAAACTCTATTCCAATTAAGGTTTGTTGTTTTTTTTTCCCAAGGCGCTTTACAAGTGTAATTTTGTTGTTGTTCTCAGAATAGTGGTTTATAGAATTTCCTTAACTCTATTGAAAAAGTATCTGCTTGAGAACTCTACTGTTGGATAGCAGTTAGATATTGCTCATTTTAACAAATACTGAGGGATACAATGAGAGAGGGGGTGGGAGGGTATTAGACAGCCGAAGGTGTGGTCAAAGAGGAAGGTCTTGAGGCAGACCTTGAAGGAGGTGAGGGAAGGGCAAGTCAACAACAACAACAACAAAATTACATTTATAGAGCACCTTTCATGTCGGGTGGATGTCCCAAGGCGCTGAACAGTCATATGTCGGAGCCCGAGCATGGGGGGAGGGGTGGTGTAGGTGTGAGGGAAGGCAGAGAAGTGGGAGGGAAACCAAAGGCACGGTCGAAGAGAAGAGTCTTGAGACCGGACTTGAAGGATGTGAGGGAGGAAGCGAGGCGAAGGGACCGTTGGAGTTCCAGAGTGTGGGGGCAGAGAGGCTGAAAGCTCAGCCACCGATTCGGGTGGGAGACATGGAGCAGGCCGGAGCCTGATGAACGGAGGGAGTGGGCAGGTTGGTAGGGAGTCAGCAGGTCAGAGACTCTGGGATGGAGTTCCAGAGAGTGGGACAGATACCCTGAAAGCCCAACGGAGCGGGGGATGTGAAACTGTCTGACCGGAGGGAGTGGCCAGGTTGATAGGGTTTGAGGAGGCCACAAAAGTAGGATTAGGCAAAACCATGGAGAGATTTAAAGGTTAGGACAGGGATCTTGAACTCGATCTGCTGGGGGAATGGGGAGCATTGAAACTACTTGTATATCTAAAATATCTTTTATTACTAAATAAGCCTAAAGTAGAAAAACTTGTCCACAACACTCAAAGATTTAATGGACATCGACCATGATTTTCAGCCTACGGTTGTAAATATTGCTGCTTTATTCCACTTTAATTCTTCAAATTACTGTATTTTCCAGAAAATAAGGGATGCTTGTTTGAGCGAACTCTGGGCTTCAGTGATCTGTTTACTGTTTACATCAACTGGAAAATTAGAAACTCAAATCAAATGTGTCGTCCTGTGGAAGTTTTGCTGAGTTTGCTTAGGTTTTAGGAACTCTGTGTGACTCGTGTTAGTAATGATGGATCTCACCATTCCAGCTGAGCAGCCCACCTTTGCCTTTCTGAGGACAATCTTTGCATTTTCTTTATCTGCCAGATCGAAAGGCTTCAAACTTTGCTGGCAGACAATGAAAAAGTCAACTTATCAGAGATTGAACCAATACCCTTACCTTTGGAACCACCGGTTAAAATCAGAGGCATCATTCCAGAAAAAGCAACATTATTTAAGGTAAACTTTAGAAATGAATATTTCCATCGAATTGTCCAATACGGATTACTGGTGCAAAATGGGTTTCAGATTTTTCATCTTATTGCAATTATTTAAAAATTATTTCTTTTGTGAAATAGAAATTACAGGCCTGTGACCCTGTATTTTAAATAGTTGCCACCTGAAGCTATTTCCCTAACCATTAGGGCATCCTGCAATCTGTCCTCATTGATCAAGTTAGGGTTTCTCAAAATGTTGGAACTCATTTGTTTCCTGGTGGTGGGTGAATTGTGCAATTCCTGTTCAATTGTGGGACAAATATTGAAGCACTTCAGTTTTCTTGCAATAGTACAACAATCCCTTTGGTCTTCAGTTGATGACTGAAGACGACCAAGAAATAAATCTGGAAATTAGATATCTGACATTGAGAAACCTCATTTTTATCTTGTAGCAGCAATGGATGCTATTTTCTGGCCTTTGGTACTGATGAAATTAAACTTATTTGCATAAGTTAAATTACTCACTTCTGGTAATAAAATGCAACTCCATTTAATGACCTGATGTTAAAGCGTAAAATGCGTTACTGAGGCATAGAAAGCTTTGCCATAAGTGCCTATTGAAACTGAATCATATTTCTTAATAGGGAATTGAATAAACATTAGGGAAGAGGGAGTAAAATTGAACTGCAAATAATGAGATTCAAATATCTATGAACACTCAAATTTTATATAATGCGTGAATTACAAATAACCTATTATACAGGTCCATTCTTGCCTTTCTTGGGTCTTAAGTTCTCAAGCTTCAGATTTAATTCCTACCAATGCCCAATGGGTTACACACAAAGGCATTTTGAGGAGTGTTTAGCAAAGTGGACCAAGATCCTTTAGAATCATAAAGCTAGGTAGTGTGTGAAAATTGGACTGAAGATGGTAGTTGAGACATGATATCTTCCTGTGAATATTCTATATATCGTATGTATGCATTTTTTTCATATATATATAAATTATATATGTTAATGGAGTTATGGTGCTGTATTGTTTCAGAGTGCCCTAATGCCAGCAAAGCTAATATTTAAGACTGAAGATGGAGGTAAATATCCTGTTATATTCAAGCACGGTGATGATCTTCGTCAGGATCAGTTGATCCTCCAAATCATCTCGCTTATGGATAAGGTATGAAGCTGTTGTCAGTTATAAACCAAACCTTATTGCAATATTAAGTTCCAGTTTTACGCATTTTTAAAAAAAAATGAGTAGACAAGCTAAATATTGTCAAATCGTAATCTCCGATCATCTGACATTGAACATGTAGATGTTGGATTGTAATAATCATGCAAATATTTGTTCGCTTTACAACTAACCAAACTGTAGAACTCCCACCAGTCACGTTTCCATGAAATGCAATATAGTTTTATATTTGTATAGAGTATTTCACATCATTAGGATGTCACAACATGCTTGACACTGCTGGCTGGGCACCTGTAGGGTGAGGGCAGATGCCCTATGGAATTGTAAAGCAAAATATAAATAAATGTAGTCCACTAGTCCTCATAAAATGTGCTTATTGTATTCAAACGATATGCTTGTGGACTTCCAATTTAGTGTTGACTTTTTTTTCCAGAGGAGTTTATTGTTTGAAAAGAATACATACACTATTTTAATGTACTGTATTAAATTCCGGGAAATCTATATTCAACAACAATAACAACAAACTGCATTTATATAGCATTTTTCATGTTAGGAGGGGACTAAAGGAGACGGACAGTGAAGGATTTGCATCTGAGCTGGGGGCTAGAGTCAAGAGGGGTGGAGGGCAAGGGAGATATACTTGTGCTTCACTTTGAAATAACTTTGGATAAGTACTTTACCTTGTATTTTTATGAAGTAATTGAATAATTTTGTTCTTGGAACTGTCAAATTATCAAATGCATTTGGAATAGCTCTTGGAGAAAGATTGCACTCAAACCATTTATTGAGCTGTTTATCAGAATAAAGGTGAACCATTTATACTGCCTCTTGCTGCAGACCATTTAGCAGCAGCTGCCTCTATAAAATACAGCTGAAAGGTATATAAGAGTTACATTAGTAGGGTTAGGAATGTACTTGGCTTCCATCTAACTAAGGTTAGAAACTTGGCATATGGGAAAATCACTGGTGCGTGGACAGCATTCACTATCTTTCATTCCATATTTCTTGCTTACATGATCTTCTTATTTCTAGCTTTTGCGGAAAGAAAATCTTGATTTGAAATTGACGCCTTACAAAGTATTGGCCACTAGTACCAAGCATGGTAAGATACTCCTTGTAATACAAATTATTGTAAATTCTGTATGTTGTATTATTTAAGCCTGATTCACATATCAGTGGTTTTGAAAAGTTTCAGAAGAGTTGGGGTTTGGATTAAGGGGAAGCCATATTGAGGTGAGAAAGTAGTGGTAAGTTTATAACTACAGTGACTGTGTGTTCTAACATTGCAGTGTTAATCTTTGACCACTTGCAAATAAAGTTGGACCCTTTTATGAAGCACTTTGGAGTAAGACAGATCTGTGTATAATGTAGGTGCATCATTGCATCTGCAGTGCGATGTGCTGACCAGTGAGATTCCTGCACATAGCAAGTAGGTGCAGAAGATATTCAAACATTTGGTGGAAACATTCACACGAGCAGACTTTGCTGAACAGCTGGCTATTGTGTTGTGGGTTATTGGTGACTTGACAACCCAAACTCTGATTGATAGCCATTTTTAGAACTCAACTTGTAATAACATGGTCTGATTTCCATGGACCCAGTGTTAAAAATGAGGTGCAACTATATTACAATGCTAGTTTTCTTTTAGTCTTGTTATAATCCCAGGCATTTCATCGTTAAGAGACTTGTACTACAGAGTTCAGGTCTGGTCAAAATCATGTAATGCATAACTAAAATTATTGGTACATATTTGTCTAAATTTCTAGAATGTGGAAAATTGTGTTTTTTTGAGTTCCCTCTGATTCTTTCCCAGTGCTGCCAATGCTGTTCTTGAATACTTGTGTATTTCTGCATTCTGTGGTTTGTTTCTTGCACATGGCTTGCTTTACTTATCTTAAAAACAAAAGTAGAATAAAACCATGAGCAATCCTTGCAGTAAGTGGTGCTCTTTCTAAAGCAGGGGTTAAGATACGTTAGGTGGGAAGAGATACTGTACAACTTATTCATGCTACATGACCTCGTTTCATATTTTAGGTTAACAGATGCATCAGTTTATTCAGACCAGAATGTGCCCAGGTTTGAACCTCCTTGTTCATTCTGTTGATCTCAGACAGAATATTAGGAGGGATATTGCAGTTGGCTACCATCGGTGGCCGCGACCACATCACTCCCACCCTCGCTCGCCTCCACTGGCTCCCCATCCCCCAGAGGATCGAATTCAAAATCCTCATCCTCACCTACAAGGCCAATCACGGCCTTGCTCCCTCCTACCTTTCCGACCTACTATTCCCACTACCTACCTGCCCGTACCCTCCGTTCCTCTGGCTCCGGTCTGCTCCACATCCCCCGCCCCAACCGCCCTACCATCGGTGGCCGGGCCTTCAGCCTCTCAGCCCCGAGGCTCTGGAACTCCATGCCCCAGTGTCTTCGCCGCCTCCTCCCTTTCCTCCTTCAAGGCCGGTCTCAAGACCTTTCTCTTCGACCGTGCCTTCAGCTCCCCTCTCGACTCTCTACCCCCTCCTTGCTCCCTCCCTTCCCTCACCCTGACCATTTCCCCCCTGCTCGGGTCCCGGCCCAACTGTCCAGCGCCTTGGGACGTCCTCCCGACGTGAAAGGCGCTCTATAAATGAAATCTTGTTGTTCTGGTCTGAACACGCTTAATTAAAAAATTGGGAAAATGTTCTACTCAAAACCACAATTATGACCAGTCATCCAAAAAAGCTCACCATTAAACTTGTTGTGGCCAATAGCAATATTGAGCCATCTCTGAGATGCAGTGAGTTTCATATTTTAGGTTAACAGATGCATCAGTTTATTCAGACCAGAATGTGCCCAGGTTTGAACCTCCTTGTTCATTTTGTTGATCTCAGACAGAATATTAGGAGGGATATTGCAAGGATTTCCCACGACAACATTTGGCAATTGTTTATGAGAACACCAAACTATGAACAAGAGTACAAAACACAGAAATACACAAGTATTCAATGTCGGTGTCAACAGCACAGGGAAAGAATGGATAGTTTCGGGGAGAAACATAAAATGAAATTTTTCACATTCTATAAATTTTAGAGTATTACAGTTAATGTCAGCCTGGTTCCGTTAATAGTTCTCTTACTACTGAGTCAGATGGTTCTGGGTTCAGGCTGCATGTGGTTTGTCACTTTAACCTTAGTTTAGGCTGACACTCCAATACAGCGCTGGGAGAATGATCCATCATTTGGAGGTGCTGTCCTTCAGATGAGGTTCAGGTGAATGTTAAAGGTGCCATGGCACTTTTCAAAAAGAAAAGGTAGTTTCTCCCAGTATCTTGTTAAATCATCCCCCAGATAAAACAATTCATTCACTTCATGGCTATAAATGGGACATTGCTGTGTGCACATTGGCTACCACATTTGCCTACAAATATCAATTACATTTTACAGTAAAATCTTCTGAAGTGATTTGAGGTACATTTAATTACAGTTGTTGAAACAAGTATTTTGATCTGCAGGCTTCATGCAGTTTATCCAGTCAGTGCCAGTTGCTGAAGTACTTGCTACAGAAGGAAGTATACAGGTAAAGAACCAATTTGAATATAAATTGTATCTTTTAAATCTTATGGGAACAGAGTATTAATTGAATCAACCGCCTGATATTGTACCCTCAAAGCTGTATCAACCTTGTGCATTAATCGTTCATTGTAGTAGAACAAAAGCTAAATTAAGAAAAGCTGTGCTAAATAGTAGCTCTTCTGTTCTAACCTGCCTAATGTTTAATCTCTCACTCGATTTGTTATTCCTACCTGCAATGTTCTTCCTTCCATTCTAGTACTTTCGTCTAGTGTTCTCTAATACCTTGACCAAGTAGCTATTTTTCATGTGTGATTTTAGAAGACAATTGTTGTTCAGCTACTTGATTATTATAACTGAGTCCAATTTTTCATTTTTAATCTGATCCAAGATAGGGTTGGTTGGCTGTTCAACTGGGGAATTAAATTGAACTGAATCTTGTCTTGTATTCCGTTTCTTTTCTTTGTTCAGCTGGGTGTTTGATGCATGTAGGAACCTGTGTTTAAAAATATCCAAACCAGATTGAGCTCTACACATGTATGCTACCTATACATGGAAACTTCACACAACCAGACTATTGAGGAAATACTCCATTCTGACCTCCAATTACCAGCTTAGCTCCAATGAGACCCACCTACCTGCTCCTCACCCTCCCCGAGGAGGAGGATAATCAAAGTTTAGCCGTTCCAATGGTTTGCATAACTCAAATTCTAACACTTGTGGGAGGGAGAGGAAAATGCACTCACAAAAATAACCTATTGCAGAAAAAATAAATCTTGAACCCTAATGCCTTCCATTGTACTCTAGAACTTTTTCAGAAAACATGCACCCAGCGAAAAAGGGCCTTATGGTATTAGTGTGGAGGTGATGGACACCTATGTTAAAAGCTGTGGTAAGTGCCTGCTGTAAGCTATTTGATTGTTGTCTGTGATACGGTGGTTTTAGTTTGTGGTGCATTATTGTTGCCTTCGTACTTTTGTTTCCGAAGTCTAGATTTCCTGGTGCCAGACAGCAACTTCATTTTCATGTATAATTTATCCCCAAAAAAGTTGCATTGTTTCAACCTATTTGCAAAAAGTAGGAAAGCAACAGACTGAGTGAATTTTATAGATGTACATGTAATGAATGAGATGATGTCAGCCCAAATCAATACTTTCAGATATGCCAAGAAATCAAGACAAGGGCAAATATTTAAGGTTGTGAAGGGCAAGTTTGTTACTGAGACCAGGAATGTTTCACTTGTGCAGAGGGCACTCTGCTTGAATGGGTTACCAAGAAGGAAGTCTGGTTGAGACCAAGACATAGGACATATTTAAGAAACTCCTTGATGCTGTAATTGCAGAATTCACAACATTTAGCTTTCACGGATCATTGGCCTGTAAATGTCAGGATTGAAATCAATGTCTGCATCAATGCCATTTGCAGGCACTTGTGAATCCATCCTAATGTGATTCTCTTCTGCTGGTATTTGAAAGAAAATTGGTGATTTTTTTTCTCTCTCTCCAGGTTTTCGCTTTGTTCACTTCACAACCAAATTTACCCCAACATTTTTCATTTGTCTTTGTGTAGGATTTTTGCTAGTGCAATTTACCTACTGCATTCTATCTCTGTAACATTGACTTCATTTCTGATTCATCTCATTTTGTAAAGTGCTTTAAGATGTTTTATATGAAAGCTGCTATAAACATGTAAGGTGTTGATCATAAAGTAAAATTACTTTGCCAACTTATTGGATCCAAGCAAACACTTTAAATATTGGAATGATTTCAATACTCACATTTAATGTTTTTATTTCATAGTTAAAGTATGCATGCTGGTGCTATAAATCTTGCAATTTACTATGGTCCTTTTTTTTCAGTCATGAGTCATGATTCATTTATCGTTCCAAGGCAATGAACAACTAATTTCAAACTATACAGGATGAGCAGTTATAACACAGTGGTTTGGGGCCCAAGACCCTGTAATCATAAGAAGGCATACTAAACAATGGCCACGAGTTGTCTCTACCTGAACTCAACGTTTGCCATGCTGTCACTTTCTGTATGTGCAGGGAGTGATGTCAGCACTAGTTCCTCCATAGGGAGGTGGCCAGTTAGTGCCTGAAGTGGGCCACACTTCCAATATAATGCAAGACCACAATACACCATTGCTCTACGAGGCTACATTACAACTGGTTGCCCTGTATTATAAGATTCTCTAAAATTCTTGGGTCTTATTACTTAAAATTGCTCTTAATAAATTTCTGCTGTTCAGCAAGTTGGTATAATAACACATTTTACATTTATACAACAATACAAAATTACATTTGTAAAGTGCCTTTCACATCGGGAGGATGTACCAAGGCGCTGAACAGTCAGGGCCTTTAGGACCTGGGTGGGGTTGGTTGGGATCAGGGACAGTGGACGGCAGAGAGGGTAGGTGGGTGGCCGAAGGCATGGTTGAAGTGGAGGGTCTTGGGGCGTGTCTTGAAGGAGGCAAGGGAGAAAGTGAGGCGAAGGGAATGTGGGATGGAGTTCCAGAGGGTGGGCGCAGGAAGGCTGAAGGCCTGACTGCCGACGGTGGGCCAAGCAGGGAACATAGAACAGGCCGGAGCCTGCAGAGCAAAGGGAGTGGACAGGTTGATAAGGGGTTAGCAGGTTGGAGAGGTAGGAGGGGCAAGGCTGTGGAGGGCCTTGAGGATGAGGATTTTGACTCGATCCTTTTGAGGAATGTGGAAGCGGGCTAGCGTGGGTGTGATGGGGTCACGGAGCCTGGTGCGGGAGGGGACACAAGCTGCAGAGTTCTGGATTATCTGCAGCTCGTGGAGAGAAGACCTGGGAAGGCCGACCAGGAGGGACTTGGCATAGTCGAGCCTAGATGTAATGAAGGCATGTATGACAGTTTCAGCGGCCTGAGGGGTGAGGCATTGCCGCAGTCGGCAATGTTGTGGTGGAAGACAGAATGGGTCATGCACCAACTTGGGGGAGAAAGAGCAGTTGAGGATCGAACAATATGCCTAGGTTCCTGACTGTCTCTGTGAGGTGGAATCTGCATCCATGGATGCTGATGCTGCCAGTGCCTGAGGTGCTGGCAGGAGCCAATTAGGAAAGCCTCGGTCTTGCTGACGTTCAACTGTAGAAAGTTAGCTCTCATCCAGGACTTCTGTCAGGACAGCAATGGTCCTGGAGTCGATGGTGCAAGCAGAGAGATAGAGTTAGGTTTCCTCTGCATACATGTGGAAGTTGATCCCATGTCTGCAGATGAGTCACCAAGTGGGATATAGCATCTTTCATGTCGGGATGACATCCCAACACCAATAACCTGAATTTAATTGGCTGCCGCGTTTCGCCCAGAAATATACAGTCAATTCACTTTACAGTATATTCTGTGAAGCGCTTTGGGACGTCTAGAAGATGTGAAAACCGCTATATCAAATGCAAGGATTATTATTATTGTATACACCCTTCATTCAGGGTAGCATCTCAGAGGGCTTATGACAACCCAATGCTCTGGACAGTTCAGGGTTTGTACCTGAGGTGGGGTGGGGAAATGACTGAAAGTATGGTCAAAGAGGAAGGTCTTAATGTGGACCTTGAAGGGGCAAGTCATAGAGACTCTACGAATGGAGGTTGAGAGAGCTGAAAGCCTGACTGTCAATGCTGGGGTGTGTAGGGTAGGGGGATGTGAAGCTGGTGCCTGTTGAGCGGAGGGAAGGGTTGGGTTGATAGAGTTTGAGTAGCTTGCAGAGGTAGGATGGGGCAAAACCATGGACGGATATAAAGATTTGGGTGAGAATTTTGAACTCTGTCTACTGGGGGATGTGGAGCCAGGTGAGGATGGAGCTTGTAGGTTCATGGAACAAAATACAGAAAAAGACACAAGCTGCAGTTCTGGATAGTCTGCACCTTCTGAATAGAAGAGGCGGGTAGTCCAGTGAGTAGAGTTGGTGTAATCTAGCCTGGATATGATGAATGTGCTGGAAATCGGAAACAAAAACAGAAGTCGCTGGGAATATTCAGCAGGTTAGGCAGCATCTATGGAGAAAGGAAAGTGAGTCAACGTTTCAGGTCCACGACCCTTCGTCAGAACTGAATGTGTGGGTTAGGGTCTCGGCAGCCCAAGGGGAGAGGTGGTGGTTGATCAATGTTATGGAGGTAGGGGAATCCTGGGCATGTCAGAGCATGGATATTGCACTTAAAAGATAGTTGGTAGTCGAACTCACATCAAGATTCCACACCTTTTGAAAAAAAATGACTTTAAGACCTTAAATTGTATAATGTTACAGGCTTACATTTTAAGAACATTTGGCTATTTTTTTTTGACAGCTGGATATTGTGTGATCACTTACATACTTGGAGTTGGAGACAGACATTTGGATAATCTCTTACTGACAAAAACAGGTAAATGTACAATTTTCATTAGTACTTTTTATAGCTGCATTAAAAATGTCTTGCATTTCTAAAATGTGCAGTGATCTCTCCCTCCCCATTCTGAGTCAATGCAGTTCACATGATTCCCCTAATATACAGTATTGGGAATGGCTTGAGTCAGTTTAAGTAAAAGCTCAGTAGATGGCACTGTAGATCCATTTTGGAAGGGGGAAAAAAATGGTTAAACTAGAAAATGCTGTTCCACACATTTCTATGTGTAATTTATAAGCCTTTGAAATGCACATTTAGGTGTGTGTTTCTTTGTTACGAATTTAAAGATGTTCTCTGAATAGCCTCTCTGTGTTGTTGGAGGGGAGCAGAAGAAAAGCAGGAATATTTTTGCTTGATGATGTCTTAGATATAAAACATTGACTTGGTAGATATCTTTAAATTGTCAAACCTTTCCACCACTCCCTTCATTAAGGTACATAATAATCCTTAAATTTGATATTGAGCCTTATCACGTCATTGAGGTATCTCAAAACGCTTCACAAAATGTACTGTAAAGTGAATGAACTCTATTTTGTGTGCAAAAGATGATGCATAATGGTTAAAGCTTTGACCTTAAGGATATTTAAGTTTCAAAATTTGTATTGAAATGGTGAGAACAATATTGAACTTGTTGACTTTAGTGGAATGTATCTTTGTTAAAATTAGCTAACCTATTAATTTATAGAAAGGAATGGAGCAAGAAAACGAGGCATCAAGATATGATGGACAAAATTTGTTTTCTATGCTAAATTCTAAGTCTGTGCTCTATTTTTGTTGATGGTTCGCGGGAACTAAATTCATTTGAGTTTTGTGTGTCATATTAGCCAGTAGTTCTAGTAAGTCACTTAGAAGAACTTCTGAGAAGGCTCTAGTGGTAAAGTAACTGTTCTAGACAGAACCGTACAAGTGTTGAATCCCATTATGCTGGATAATTCAAAGGTTAGTCAAATTGACAGTCAAAAAAGGATCATTGCAATTGGATTTATTTTTAGCAACTAATTCACTCCCTATAAATCCCGCTGGAAGCAAGAACAACCAATTACATTTTTCTAGCTCTTTCCCCGTCAGGAGGATGTCCCAAGGCTCTGGACAGTCAAGGATTTGCACCCGAGCTGGTGATTGGGATCAGGATGGGTACAGGGTCAGCAAGGGTGGGTGTAGGATAAATAGTAATAATATATATATCAGTAGCAGGGAGTATGTTGCGGCCAATTCATGATATCTCTGCCCCCAAGTACCAGACGTAATTTGCAAGGGTTTCCTTACTGCTGGTCATCTGAAGCATACTGCAAGGTGCTCGTTGCTGTTAGCAATTCCCATTGCAAACTTTTTTTTCAATCTCGAGGTTGGCAGTGCTGTAAACAAAATGGTGAATTTTCTATGAGGGCTCCAAGATTTCATAGGGTTACTATTGTTTTTGCAACTTCACACGAATATATTGCAGTGGCAGCACTCTAGTTTATGTAGGAAAATGTACTGAACAGAAGCTTTTTAAGCATTTTATATAAAAACCTGTCTTTGTATTTTGCTTATGTTGCCCTTTATATACCCGAAACAGATGTTTTGAGTAAAGCAAGTTGCCTGCTGACCAGCCGAATTTGAATTTTCTACTAACATTTTTGTTCAGCTGCTGCTAAATTGGCACCCAAGGGAAATGTGCAGGCAGCACTTCTATCTGGAGCAGCTCATTCTGAGCACTCATGCAGCAACCCATCATTCAGGGATAGGAACAGCAGAGACTGTATAATGGAGAAAGTACTTGACTCTGCAAGAAACAAAAGCTGGTTGGGTTATCAAGTACATATCTAATCTGTAGAGCATGCAGAGGCCATATTTCTGTGTTGCAACAGCATTTTTCTGCGTTGTAGTAATTCTCCTAGTTTGTGAGAGGTACTTAGTCATTAACGTAGCATTAATTTTTTATTAAACTGCAGAGAAAGGTAATGTGTGCCGGAAAGGGATCTTTCCACAAGGTTTGGAAACAGTACCAGAATTGTTTGCTTTTAATGGACTGGTCAGCCCTCCTGACTGAGGATGGTAAATGAGGCTTGCCTTTGCATGTGATGATCATGTGGATGCTAGGGTTGGAAACTTCACTGGAATCTCTCTGGTTAGAGCACTCGCTTTGTAAGTGAGAGACCTGAGTTCAATTCCAGGCAGGGCGAAACCTTGGGCAAGTTTCCTTACTCCACACGCCTAATAATCCTCAAAAAAAAAACAATAATAAATTGGTCATTTTCAATCCACGACTGTTTGTGGGACATTGCTGTGCGCAATTGGCTGCCGCGTTCACCCACAAATATACAGTTAATTCACTTTACAGTGTGTTCTGTGAAGCGCTTTGGGACGTCCTCCCGATGTGAAAAGCGCTATATCAAATGCAAGGATTATTATTATTATTTATTATTATCTCGGACATTGCATATGTTGTAGCATTACAAAATCTAAAGTGCATTTTGCACTGTAGGCATTAAACATAAAGTTGGTGTTTTTTAACTGCCAGTTCAGCTCCAGTCATTTTAGCCTCGAGTCTTGCAACATAAAGATTTCATACTTTTGCTCGTAAAACTCTTTCTTCCCTTGACTTTATTCCCAATGAGAATTTATCGACAAGACTAAATGCTGTTTTGTAAAAAATTTTAATCACTGAAGGATTTTTTTCCTTACAGTAAACGTCAGATAACGGATCACTCCGAGATCAGCGACTAGTTACCTGGAGTGACTAGTTAGGCATTGGTCCTCCTGGTAGCAAATCAGGTTGAATTATTCAGAGTTTGCTGTATTTGCTCTTCAGTTACCATTTGTTCTTGGATGTTATAATGTTATTTTCTAATTTTATTGGTGTAGGGAAGTTGTTTCACATAGACTTTGGATATATTTTGGGTCGAGACCCTAAGCCTCTGCCACCTCCTATGAAGTTGAGTAAAGAGATGGTAGAAGGAATGGGTGGAATGCAGAGTGAACAGTACCAGGAGTTCCGCAAGCAGTGTTACACAGCGTTTCTGCACCTGAGAAGGTAACTCCTGTCCTGAACTCTATTACATTATATCTGCAAATGTGCTTTTGTCATTCTGACTGAAATTTTAGATTAGAAAATAAATTCTGTTTTTAAAAAAAATGCCAACTTGCTGTTTGCAAACCTGTGCTATCGTTTACCTTTCAGAGTATCAAATACAGTGGTTAACGCTTTAACTTTTAACATTTTTGAAACAAAAATCATTGCTTTGTTTGCCTCTGGTATCCTGAATCTCTTTTAGTTGATACGACCACATTCAAATACTGTTTGTATAACTTGGTAGTTGAGATCCAGAAAGTCCCAACCCACGTAATCACCGGTCATCTCAGTTAGTCACATTGTGACAGCACTGATCCCAATATTGGTAAAGTCACTGCACAGAGAATGAGCCATCTTCCTATGCTTTTAAAACAAAAGAGTTGACTTTCAGTTGCAGATGATGTCCTTTTCTGTGCATATCTTATGCGTGCAAAACAGGCTCACACTCCTCAACCTAATCTACTTGTGCTAGTTGGTAAGGTTGTGCATTATCCTTTCCTCCTTTTGCACAGTCAGGAAGTGACGTTGTTTGTGGAAATCTGAATTAATTACTAGCACTTTGATACCAGAGTATTGTGACAGTGACATAGTGATTGGTAGTTGTCAGATGATCTTAAAAGTGCTCAGAATTGACACTGAAATTTCAAAGATTTGTTCAGACATCTCAAATTTGATATTTAGACTTTACGATTAGACTTTATGTATCAGTTATTTATGGGACATTCATGTGCATTGATTGGTTTCCACATTTGCCTCCAAAATACAGTAACTACAACCTGCAAAGCATTTTACAACTTTTTGATAATATCAGGCACTATATCAAATGCAAGGATTATTGCAATTGATTTAAAAGCCAGTCCAACCTTCTAAATTATAGGCAGGGCTAACACACTGAACTAGACTGACACTTAATTTAGCCTCTAATGATTGATTCCATTTATTTTCCAATTATTGAGTTTAAGTTAATGGGTTTGTATTTGCCAGGTAGGTCTGTCATCCTCCTTGAATATGGAAACCACATTTGCTGGCATTAAATTTGTCAAAATCTTCCCAGTGTTCATTAACTTCCCCAAAATGATGGTCAGTGTGTCAGAAATAATAATTACTACTAATAATAATCCTTGCATTTGGTATAGCGCCTTGTCACGTCTTCGAGACGTCTCAAAGCACTTCACGGAATATACTGTAAAGTGAATTGACTGTATATTTTGTGGGAGAAATCAAATTCCCTTGTCTTTAGAAGTATTCTAGGATATAGTTGTTCCATTCTAGGTGACTTGAACCCTTGACTCTATATAGAATATCGCAGTTAGCCTCACTAATTTCAAATTCTGGGAGCTCTGTCCGTATGTGTTGGATGTTGGCCTATGTATTATAAGTATATTTGATTTTAAAAGCCTTAAAGTAGTCATTTGATACCTCTGCTTCTGGTTATCCTTGTTCCCAGCCCCTTTGTAATGCACAAGGATAGCTTAAAGGTTCTTTACGCTTCAGTTGGAAAAAAAGGAATTAGTCAAACCATAAAATTGCATGCAATAACTTTTGCCTGATATCATAAACAAGTATTTCTTTTGCAGGTATTCAAATCTGATTCTCAATCTTTTCTCACTAATGGTGGATGCCAACATCCCAGATATAGCTCTGGAACCTGACAAGACTGTGAAAAAGGTAATTGTGAGATAAACCACTTCATTTATTTTAGATGTAACATCAATCCAGTCAATTTTACACACAAAACCAGAATATGAGCCCCCATTTTAAAATTACTGTAAACATTTTGGCAAAACAATTGTTCCAAAATATTTGATTAGATTTGAGTTTTAGGAGTTTTGCTTTTATCCTTCAAAATGCATTTATTCTATATTGTATGTAGCATGAACACTGGTTAGGGGAAATTAACTGCGACTATCCTTGTAAGCCATACAATTTTCCCCTGCAGAGTGTACTGTATATAGTACTATTTATCTTGCATTCAGCGAAGCGTAGGCACCTTTAGTTCAATGTGATTGCAGCATCATGGGAGGGAATTATAATAGAACAACTTAATTTATGTGGCTGTTTTATAAAGTGCAGTAAACTTTTGATAACTCATCACTCCAAGAGAAAAGGGCTCGGTGGCAAGTTATCTGGAGTGATGAGTAAGGTGCATAGATATCTTATATATTTGTATATTATATGTGTATTATTGTTATATATATTTTGTTTGTGTGTGTATACACACATAAATAAATGCAACTGGGATATTGGCAGCATGATGACTTAAGTCGATAACAGCTTTTAAGAGAGAGCTGGATAGGTATCTGGGGAAGACGGGTTTCCAGGGTTATGGGGAGAAAGCTGGTGATTGGGGTTAGTGAAAGTGACTTGCTCTGTCAAAGAGCCGGCACAGACTCGATGGGCCGATTGGTCTCCTTCTGTGCCGTAACATTCTATGAATCTATGAAAAAGTGACCAGTTAAGCCAGATTTCAGGTATTTTTTTAAAAAACGAGTTAGGTTTGAAGTGGAGCAGAAATCCTTTTGACATTTGTGACAGCCACAAAGGGGATCTCAGGCGCCTTACTCTTGACAGCAGTTTGATTTCATGCAAGATTTGCTACAGCGTTCATAACCAGTGAAGCAAAGAAAACTTCAGCGCCTGCCTTATCTGATCAAAGCAGAGACAATGTGTTCAATGCCACTGAAGTCCTAATCAAACAATTACCTCTTTCCTCGAAGCTCAAAGAGAGGTGTTCTGAAGGCCCAGACTGCTGTATCTTCAGACAGCGCTCTCTGGAGCGGAATCTAGAACTCAGAATTCAGGTTTTCAGAGCATTGCCCTGGAATTTAGGGTAAATTTGGAAAAGATCTCAATTTGGAAGCAGAATTTTTTCAGTTCTTCTTGGGTAATGGGGACAATCTGCTTCCACATTGAGACTGATTTTAAGATCATTTCAGGTTATCAAATAATCCAGTCTTGTTCCCCAATCAAAAAATATAATCATATCCCTTGCATTTGACATAGTGCTTTTCGCGTCAGGAGGATTTCTCAAAGTGCTTCACAGAAATACTGTAAAGTATAGTGACTGTATTTTATAGCCAAACTAAGGTTCTGCAGTGTAATTTTAAATGATCCATGGCTGTTCCATTGAAATCAAATTGCTGCTTTTCAATCATTGGGCATTGTTGCAGTGGATTTTTATTGGATTAATATTCTGTGAAAATATTAAGTGTGAAATGTTTTCAAATTGTAAATCGAATCCAAAAGGGTTCCTTGACTGTTTCTAAAAAGTTCCCGTGAAGTTGAAAGTGACTAGGGATTTCTGGTTTGTCCAGTGCAGAATATTTGACCTTTACAGTTAGGAAAGCATGAGGGAATTGAGTCATCTCCACACTTAGTTGCATTATGTTAGATAGTATTAGATCCTGTATTAGTAAGCAGAGTTAGTTCCTGAACTCTATTAATTGATTGGGTTTTTGGTCATCCATTACCAATGACTGTGGTAATCAGTACATTTTTCTTTCAATAAAAGCTGGATGCATTTTATAGGCTTCCTATATGAATACCATTACCTTCCTGTTGACATGACATGGTTTAAGTATTTTTTAAAGCATTTTGTAGAGTAAATGGGTTCCATTCCTATGGCTAGTGAGGATCAAAACCATTTTAGGTGACCCAGCAGGTAGATCACTGGATGGTTATCGCATTCATTAGTGTAGTGCTGGCACTTATAAGATAACATTTATGTGTTAGCTGGGGGTGATTAACAAAATAGCAAGTAATAAATACTAACATGATAATTAAACTTTACACCAGGAATTAAAAATTTAACATCTAGGCAAACTTGAGCAAAATATTACTGAAGGTTTACCAAAGGTTTCACAGCTTGATCTGTGTGTTCATATGTAATTTATCCAAATTACATGCTGATCAGCCAAGCAGTGAAAGGCTCTTTTACTGATGCCTGAACTTTGCCTGTCTTCATGTTTTGGGAATATTAATGAAGAATGTTTCCATTTAATTAGGTATTACAATTTGAGCAGCTATTGAAAGTTTCATCCTTTAGATTTTTTATGTGTAAAAGAAGTAATTTAAAATAAATATAAGAGGGTAGACAATTTCTGCAGTTTTGGGCAGAATTTGTTTTACAAAGGTGACCAAAAAGTCTTATTTTTCAGCTATCCTATTGTCTAAAAATATATCATTGTTTCTTCAAGACTTATAAGACATTGTAAGGGTATCACAACATTTTGGTCAACCTGTATACATGTAGTAAACTGCAATACTGATACTCGGACCTCAACTGACCAGAATCTTTGCTTTTTTTTTATTTGTAATGTAATTTGTGAAAGGGGTTACTATTTTGAATGGAAAAAAATGGAATGGAAAAGCTGCATTTGTTACCTGCATGCAGCTATTAATATGGTAGATTTAACTTTTGAAAGCTAATTTAACTATTTCAATATTGTAGTTTTACTTAATTTTTTTTACTGTTCCCTGTTTGTGCATTTATTGTCCTGTTTTAGGTGCAAGATAAATTCCGTCTGGATCTGTCTGATGAAGAGGCTGTTCACTACATGCAGAGTCTGATAGATGAAAGTGTAGGAGCCCTGTTTGCTGCAGTGGTAGAACAAATACACAAGTTTGCTCAGGTCGGTACCAAATCTTTCTTTAGCTGTGTGCTACTGTAGATACTAAATGTATTTTTAATAGTTATCGTACATGTATGAATTTCTCAGTCATAACTCGGCCAATTTGGGCACATTTTTGAAAATCCTCCCCCTCCTTGTCAATATAACAAGGGTTCTTTCTTTCCCTATTTGTTCAGACTCCACTTAAAAAGTTGTCAGATCAGCAGGGCAAGTACAGGGGAACTTATGTTCAAGAGAACCTGGGAACAGCATTCCTTTTCAGAGCTTTACAAAGAGATGCTGTACCTAGAAAGCTATCTTCATTCATTACCTTTCTCAGTTCTTCTCATCATTAAAACTGGTTTCATTGTAGCACGATGCTGAACTGAATAAATCCATTCTGATAATAGATTTTAGTGTTTCAGTGTTTCTCTCACTATTTGATACTATTTTTAATTACGAGGTTACTTAGGTATCCTCCTTGTGGGAGCTGGTAAGAATGATCTACAGTTGAGCTGACACTTGGCTGTAATGAGCCGTGTAGCTAAACCAGTCCATGGCAAAATTAATGGTGTAAAAGTACGTGGCTTGTCAGTGAGACATGATTATAACAACAACTTGCACTTATATAGCGCCCTCCACACAGGGTAGTGTCAGAGTGCTTAACAGTGGTGAAGTCTGACTCCGAGGAGGGTGGTAGCCGTAAGCGCTGATTAATACTGCAAGTTAAAAAAAATAATTTAGTACAGTCCTACCTGCAGCAGTACAGTGAAACTAGATACAGCTAATCTTGGTTGAGTGACATCTGGGGTGTTGCAATCGACTTCAGCGGCCTGGACGAGAGAGCGTAAGTTTTTCCTCTCTTCCCCATTCTTTTCAAATCCGCCTGGTAGGGTAAGTATAGCGTAAATTTTACTATTTTTCTGCTAGCTGGTCCCCCCTTCCCTCCCAGTCTCTGGCACTTAAGCCATGACATGACTGCCATACCCTCTTCCCCCTCACCCCGCCTGCGCTGTCTCCCATAGCCCGCGGTCTGATGCTGCCCTGCTGATCGCTCGCTCCCGGGCTCTGCGTGCATGTTTTGGCTGCCTCCCCAACCTGAACCACACCCCCTGAAAATGTTCCTGCTCGTATCCGCTATTCCCACTCTATTCTTCTCTCCCACTGCTTTCTCGCCTTCACCCTCCCTCCTGGACCCCACCATTACCTCCCTCTACTCCAGCCTGGGCATCCTCCACCATGCCCATCGTGGCTCCCAGCGTTGGTTATCCCAGAGCAGCCACCCCAAATGTCCCATTGCTCACTCTCTCTGCAGCAACCACCTCCGAAAGGCAAACACCCCTTCCCCCTCCCTCAGCCATACCCTCTCCAACTCTCCCTGCTCCTCAACCTCCACAGTCACTTCTCCCCCACGACTTCAAATCCATTCTATACCACTCTCTCCTCCATTCCCTCTGCACCATCAAATCTATCTGCATTTCCCACCAAAATGTCTGCTCCCTCTCCAACAAAGCCCTTATTATCCATGACCTCAGCCTGGATGAGCACATTGATATTCTTACAAAAACCTGGCTCTGCCCCGGTCACCCCCGTCCCCCTCGATGATGCCTCCCCTCCCAGCTACACTTTTCACACCACCCCCACTCCAACCAACGTGGCGGTGGGGTGGCCTTCATCTCCCAAGCTTCCCTTGGTCTATCCCTCTAATTCTCTGGCTGTTTCTACTCCTTTGAGCACTTCGCCCTCTACCATCCCTCCTCTTGCCCTCAAAATCCTCCTAGTTTACCACCCCCATCCAAAGCTCACCGATATCTCCTCCCTCCTCTTATCCCTGTCCCTCTGCACTGAACACCTGCTCATAATGGGTGAATCCAACCACCACCTAAACTCCCCTTTGCACCACCTCCTCAGACTTCACTGCTCTCCTCTCCTCCCTAAACTTCACCTTCCACATTGACTCACCGACCCACAACCATGGCCACTCCCTAGAACTCGTCATCACACACAGCCTTGACATTTCCGACCTGTCTATCACGGACAAAGCCATCTCAGACCACTTCTTCATCTCCTTCTGTTCCCATATCTCCTTTCCCTTTCCAATCCCTCCACCAATTTGTTTCCACCCCTAGAAAAAGTTTTCCCCTGAGTCCATCACAAATGCCCTCTCCTCCTCGGATCTCCTCTCCCTCTAGTCCTCCACCTGCAGCAATCCTGATGCAGCTATTCAGCTGCTGAATAACTGACTCTCCACAACTTTCAAATTCCCTGAAATCCAGGTTTGTTTCCAAACCCACCCGCTCCCCCTGGTACAACAGTCATCTCCGCTCATTCAAAACACAAACCTGGATGCTCGAGCACAGATGGCAGAAATCCGGGCTCACGATTCGCTGCCATCTGTGGCTCAGCACCTGCGCACCTACCGCCTCTCCCTTTCACAGGCCAAAACTGACTTATTCCAAAGTCATCCTGGAGGTAAACATCAATCTAAAGACACTGTTTTCCACTGTCCATCACCTCCTTTGTGCACTTGCTCCAGAGCTCTGCCGCCCGCATTACTAACCCGGAGCAAACTCTGCAAGTTGTTGTTGTTGTCGTCGTTGTCATTGTTGTATCCAGAAACTCTGCTGGATGGGCATTTGTGGAAATTGGATATGCTCATCAGAATAGAACTTTGGCTATGGGGCTTGGCAAATAGCCTGTTGGCATCCTTGCATGTGCAAAAGTGTGACTTGGGTAAATGTAATGACTGAATAGTACGCTAATGAAAAGAAGAAGGAGTCAATACCTTTGGAAGTAGAGAAAACGAAAATTACTGGCCAATCGCAGTGGTCCTGGCTGCATCCTCCATTATCCTCCATTATGTGGAGTCCTGTAGCTCAGTGGTTAGAGCCTCTCAAACGAGAGACCTGGGTTTGATTCCCAGCAGGGCGAAATGTTGGACAAGTTTGCTTTACTCCACATTCCTTTGTTTACCCGCAGTAAGTAGAAACCCGGTTGTTAGTCGATTGGCTTTTCCGGGATAATAATTCCTTCAAAATAAATAATAATTTGTTCTTCAATCCATGACTGTCTGTGGGACACTGCTGTGTGCAATTCGCTGCCACGTTTCACCCACAACATATACAGTCAATTCACTTTACAGCATATTCTGTGAAGTGCTTTGATATGTCTCAAAGACATAAGGCACTATATCAAATGCAAGGATTGTTATTATATTCATAAAGATTCTGTTAAGGATGTTAAGTAGCACACCGTAATTTCAAAGTGAATGAGTGACTGCAAAAACTGAAGCCATCTTGTTCAGCTCTCACCTGCACTTTCTTGTCTCAGGTGCTGACTCTATCAACCTTCCTCATCATTCTGGATGACCAGCGTATATACCACCCCCACCCCCCAAATGTGTCCTCAACTTTAAAATGTATTGACTATTTGTCTATGGGACATTGCTGATTAGAATATCTGTTTACATAATACAATGCAAATGCATTTAAAGGTTACCAATCTTTTTACACTAAAGCATATTGTTAAGGGAATGGAAGACCTTTGAACTAATTTAAGAAAAAATGGAAAATTGATGTGGTAGATGGACTTCAATTGATTCAGGAAAGATCTTGAATTTTAATTTAAGGGTGTGACCTTCATTTTGAGAGAAGGCTGCAAGGAAGGGGATCTCAGATGCTTTAAAGTGGAGATAATGTGCTCCAATTAGATCATTGATATTCTAGTTGTCACCTGCCAGAAAAGGGACAGAAAAAGATGCAACTTTCAGACTTTAATTATGTTGTAGACAGAGGGAAATTGGTTCTCCGTTCTCCGAGCACTTGTGCAGAAACCTGAGGAGTTGATTGATACTGACAAACTGCTGATTCAGATGGAGAGCGAGAACTGGCACAGTGTCCAGAAGTGGTTTACTTAACAGCATAGTTCCCGAGGCCGACTTAGTGAAATGGTTTCATGCAGTCAGTGTCAATCATCCCTATATCCAAGAAAGCTGCACTGAAGGTTTATAATACATAGTGGAAATTTCAAATCTTGTTCACTGTGTTGCTGTGCCACATCTCATTAACTATCTTGCAAATAACAGTAGCCTAAAAGCGCTTCTACCTTGTGATTTCATATTGCTGCTGATCTGCTTGTTTCATGCAACTGATGGAAATGTCAGCGGGTGAACAAACTTTGCTACCCAAATGAATGAAAGATCATGAGGGTTCAGATAAATGCCCTTTCGCTGATTTCATCACATTCTTTGTGAATACCCATCCTACCATTCATCTGCTGTATTACAGCATCAAGCTGTTATTTAAATGTGTCCAACTTCCTGACCTCAACTACCCTTCCTGATATCTAGCTTCAGTCATTAATCGCCATCTGTGTTTATAAAGACTGTTTGCTTGGTATCTGTTGTGAAAATGCCCTTTGCAAATCTGAACATTTGTCTCGAGGATTGATTTGTCAGGTGCTCTTCAATTGTTAGCTTCAACCTTGGAAATCAGTCGCTTTGTGAGCAAACTGATTACTGTCCCATTGCAGTATATTTTGTATGATCCTCGAAAGTAACTTTTGTGTACCCTTGTATTTTAGCATGAGGGCTCAATGAGTCTTGGTATACTCGCTGTCTGGATATGTATGTGAATAGGCCTGTGCATGTGCCTGTTATTTGAACTTCATCCTATTACTCCCAGTATATTTTCTCGCAGGGAAGGAGCCCTATTTCAGCTTTCAGCATTGCCTCCCTTGACAGATGCACTAGAGTTGGATGCAGAGTAATTCCTTTTGTATTCCAGTAAAACTCACATTCCCTCCCCTCAACTACCTCAGTGGAGCAAACACTAGTTTATCCTTTTCTATTACTTGCACCAGTCTTTTTTCTATTGTAAACTACATCCACTTGGTTGAAATGTAGTGAACCCTGACAAGGCTTTTAATCATTAGGTTCGGTTTGATTCAAATCCATTTGGAAATTAATGAAATGGGAAGTGGAGTGTATCTCCTGGTAATACTTGTGACAAAGTGCGAGTCTCCAGAGTCCTCACTGGATGTTCGTGAGGCATCTCTTGAGCCAATATTACAGTGGGTTCTTCTGGGAATCTCTATAATTAAGGTGCTTGGAGCAATTTGCATGTTTTCATAAAGCAGCCTTGATCTGATCACAGCTCAAAATTAATCCAAAACTTGAGACACTAAGTCCATTTCCAGATCATGTATAATGGTCATGGTCAACCTCATTAAATGAAACTTCTTCATNAAAAACAGTTGTCTTATACTGTTGCCTTCCTAACATTATGTGAGATTTTGGTCGTCAAGTACTGCAGCTGTTTTTTTAAAAATTATATGCCAGGTTTATTGTGAAATCCTCAGTGACTTAATGTTTCTTGTTTTCCACCCCCATTTTTCCTTTTTAGTACTGGAGAAGATAGACGTTTATCTGCAGCAGCTGAGTGTGACTTGATCTCTGGAGATGGACCTCTTCTGTTGAAACATTGAGGATTACTGCAGGAAAGAGAGCGTATTTTTTTTCATGAAACCATGGAACTGAGAGGAAATGTTCTGCAGTATAACTCGCACAGCAAGATAGTTAAATGTATTCAGTGCTAATTGTTGCAGTGGCCAATAATAAAGGAACTTGCCCAGTTGATATCCAATACCTAAGGAATGCTTTTCCAAGTGATAATTTTTTAATAGTGGTTGCACCTTAGTATGTTCAAAGCTTGCAATGCTGTATATTGTAGCAAAAAAATTGTAGCTCTGACTTGAAATTCAATGCCCATAAAATTACAAAAAAACTATTTTTGTTTAGTATCAACCTTGTGACATGCTTGAAATATCTTGTAAACTAAAGACAAAACCACTATTGTTAAATGCCATTGTTCAATTTTAGTGTAAACTGTTTTTGCTAAATAAATTTGCAATCTAATCTCTGGAGCTATAAGGAATTTGGAGCCAATTGTTTCAGATTTACGAAAAGTTCCACGTCCTGCTTTTTTTAAAATGCAAACATCGGTAACCTCACTAGAAGTATATTATAGTACATTGTATATGCACCTGAAGTTTAATTCACATAATGTCTGATCATTGATCACAGTAGTAAAAAAAATGCAGCAATGAGTATACAACAGATCATAAGGTACAAGTCTAAACTGCTATTTAAATGTCAGCCGTAGTTTTGAATTGGATAAAACTGAGTTAGAAACTATATTTTGAAAGTTGAGAATTTCAGTATGGTAGTTTACATCACTACTTCTTTATCATTTGTTTTAGAAGTTATTTACTTCATTTGGGGAAAAAAAGCAAAAGGTGATGGAAGCAGCAAATATACGGTGAGAATAATTGAAATTTCTGAGATGATATTCCTGGGATGTAAGCCAATCTTTGCATTGCTAATTTACTGGTGATCTAATGTGTACATTTGTTCTTTTGAAAATGGGGGTAACCAATCAATGAAAGAAACATAAGGCAGTAATGCTCTCTGACTTGACATGACTTATACTGTGTTAGTCACTTTTGCTTTTATCTGTCCCTTTTGATTGAGTACCTGCCTTTTAACATCCTCTTGTTTTTTCTAATGTATACAAATGTCATTAAGAGATGAGGTTTAAAGTTCCTGGTGACTTCAGAAATAGTACAGAGGTTACTTGGAAATAATTTTAAGTGATATTAGTCATTGTATATTACGAGCATTTGGAGTTAAAGCTTTCATGGTGCCACACTGACTCATGGGGTATTGTGGGGAAATGTTACCAGAGTATTTGGCCTCTTATGTTTTAATATTAGTGTTCATTTATGAGCATAGTATGAGCAAAATATGTTCAATCTCCCCCAAAAATTGGACACCAATAGGCAAATGGGTGCCTTTTATTTTATTAAAGGTACTTTGGCATAATAGTTAAAGTGGAGAGTGACTGTTTTTTATATCTAAATTCACACTTGTTTTCCAGCTTATATTCTAAATCATGTATCTGTGCATAAAATGACTATTTTCTAGACTAACTCAGGTACAGTTATTTCCAATCTCCTGGAATGAGATTTTGCATTTGAACCACAATATTTAAACCAATTCCACATTAAAGCATTCTAAGCTAGTGTCTAAAGGCACCAAAGTTTTCCAGTACATACGTTGGCTCCAGTGTAAAAGCTGTCATGAGGCTTATTAACTTTGTGTAAGAGAACTTTGTTTCATAGTGTGTGGGCTGGATTTAAATGATCAAATTCAAGCTTCAATGAAATGTTTCTTCAAGCCAAAATAGCACATTCCCAATTCCTTTTCCATTCATCAATTACATACCATAAGACAAGGCTAGAAGATTAATAGACTATATAAGGCTGTATCATGGTATAACAGTAGACCTATGGAACTACCATGGTCAGTTAAAAGATTAACCCCCAAATCACTGCCATCACTTCCCTTCCACACGGATTTTGGAACAGATGAGTGTGAAAACAGACCAGACTGAACAGACAACACCTCCAAGTAATCTTTATTATAATATTTGTATTTAATATAGCATCAAACTTTTTGAAATGTTTCACGGTTTCTGTGAAGTGACAACAACAGCTTGCATTTATATAGTAACCCTCACGCAGGGTCATGTGCCAGAGCCCTTGACAGTGGCAGAGCACAACGCGTAGCCTGGTGAAGCGAGCGGATACCGTAGGCATAGTCAAAGAGGAAGGTCTTCAGCCGTGACCTGAAGATGGTGAAGGAAGGGGCCAGATAGAGGAAGAGTGTTCCAGAGTTTGGGGATATATCGTGGCTGAAAGCATAGCCACTGATGGTGGAATAGAGGGCACGAGGGACATGCAGAAGGCCAGAGCTAATTGAACAAAGGCAGTGGGTTGGGGGGTAAGCAGGTCAAAGGTGTAAGGAGGTGACAGGGCATGAAGGGATTTGAAAACAAGTGTAAGGATCTTGAAATCAATCCATTTGGCAATAGGGATCCAGTGGAGCCTGGCTAGAACTGGTGTGATGAGGGTATGGAGTATGTGTGGGTGGCAGAGTTTTGGATTGGTGGATCTTGTGCATGGTGTAGCTGAGGAGACTGGTGAAGAGGGCATTTGAAAAGTCAAGTCATGAGGTGATGAATGCATGGATGAGCGTTTTTGCTGCATTGGGTAAAGTATGGTTGGAGGCGGGCGAGGTGGAGGAAGGCAGTCCTGGTCAGGGACCGGATGTGGGGAAGAAAGGATAACTAGTGGTTGAACCTCAGGTCTCTGTCCTTTCACCTCAACCTTCATGGTTCTGTCCTTGAATGGTTCAGACCCGATCTCTCGCACCATCTCCACTTAATCTCCACAAACGGCTTCTCCAGCACCTGCACGATCTCATGCGGTGTTCCTCAGGGCTCTGTCCTTGGTCCCCTCCTCTTCAATATCTATATGCTCCCGCTTGGTGACATCATCCGCAGACATGGGGTCAACTTCCACATGTATGCAGGTGACACTCAGCTCTACCTCTCTGCCTCCAACCAGTCAGACATCATCCTGGATGAGACCTAACTTTCTTCAGTTGAACATCAACAAGACCGAGGCTCTCCTGATTGGCTTCCGTCAGCGCCTTCTCACCTCAAGCGCTGACAGCATCACCATCCATGGTTGCACACTCCACCTTACTAAGTCAGTCTGGAATCTTGGGGGCTTGAGTTTGACCATCAACTATTCTTTCTACCCCACATCTGCGCCATGACCTGCTCTGCCTTCCCCCACCTCTGCAACGTTGCCCGACTCTGACACTGTCTCACACCGCAGGCCGCCAATACCCTCATACACACCTTCATTACATTGAGGCCCGACTATGCAAACTCATTGGTTGTCGGCCTCCCCAACTCCTCCCTCCACAGGCTGCAAATCATCCAGAACTCTGCAGCCCGTGTTCTCTCCCGCACCAGCCTCTGCGACCCTATCACCCCCATCCTTGCTCAACTCCACTGGCTTCCCATCACACAGAGGATACTGTTCAAGATCCTGGTCCTCACCTTCAAATCCCTCCACGGTCTTGCGTCTCCCTACCTCTCCGACCTCCTAACCCCTGTTCATTCCCTCCGCTCAGTGGGCTCCGGCCTGCTTCACGTCTCCTGCCTTGCTCGCCCCACTATTGGTGGCCGGGCCTCCTGCCACTCTGCACCCACCCTCTGGAACTCCATCCCACAGGCCCTCTGTCTCACTCCCTCCATCACCACCTTTAAGACCCACCTCAAGACCCTCCTCTTCGACCGTGCTTTCGATCTCCCTGCTTCTCCCCTACCCTCCACCCTCCCCCATCCTGCCTTTCAGCTCGGGTCCATAAACTCTGTCTGTCCAGCGCCTTGGTACGTCCTCCTGCTATGCAAATGTAATTTTGTTGCCTGACGCCTAGATTGTGCACTGGTTCAGTGAGTCTGAGGGATAGGCCAGGGTGGTAGAGGAGGTCAGAGCCGCAGGACAAAAGACCTTGACGGGAGCCAAGGAGTATGGCTTCTGTTTGGCAACATTTAGTTGTAAGCAGTTCGGGCTCATCCAGGCCCTGATGTTTGCCAGTCAAGCTGACAGAACATCTCTGGAGCTGGAGGAGAAGAAGTAGATTTGTGTGTTTGTTTACCCCGTGTCTGTGAATGACATCGGCAAGGGGGAACATATGGAAGAGGAAGAGGCCAAGGTTGGAGCCCTGGGATACACCACAGGTGATCAGGTGATGGCAGCAGGACAAACCTTTTGAACAGACAAAGTGAATTGGTTTGTTAGGTAGTACTCAAACCAGGATAGTGCAGTCCTACTGAGCTGGATGAGGTCGAATGTCGAGCGGGTCGGAAAGGTCAATGCCCTCCCCACCCAACTGCTGGTCACCCAGCTCCCCCTCCTCTGCTGGCAGACACTATTAACCAGTCTTTCTCCTCAGGATCAGTCCCACTCGCCCTCAAAACCACGGTCATCAACCCGCTCCTTTAAAAAACCTACCCTCGATCCCTCCAACCTTGGCTACTGCTGTCCTATCTCAAACCTGCCCTTCCTTGCCAAAGCTGTGGAATGTGTTGTTTCCAATCAAGTTTGCGCGCAGCTCTCCCTCCACAGCCTACTTGGACTCCTCCAATCCGGTTTGTGCCCTGCCCATAGTACAGAGATAGCACTCATGAAGGTCACAAACGATATCCTCTCTATCTGTGACCAGGTCTCACTCTGCCTCCTCGTCCTCCTGGACCTCTCCGCCGCGTTCAACACAGTTGATCACACCATCCTCCTCCATCGCCTGCCTCCATCATCCACCTCAGTGGGACAGCACTCACTTGGTTCGAGTCCTTCTTTACAAACTGTCAGCACTACATTTCTGCAAATAACTTGTCTTCTCGTTTCCACCTGGTCACCTGCGGAATAACTCAAGGATCGATCCTTGGTCCCCTTCTCTTCCTCATCTATATTCTTCCTCTCGGTGATATCATCCACAGACACAGGGTTAACTTCCACACGCGGATAATACGCAACTCTACTTTTCCACCCCCAGCTGCAACCCCCAGCCCCCGATGTTCTATCAGCTTGTCTGTCGGACATCAGGAGCTGGATGAGCGCAAATTTCCTGCAGTTAACCGTCAAAAAGACATGCTCTTTGGCTCCCATCGACGTCTTCTGTCCCACAGCGCCGACCTCAACCTACCAGACCTGTCCTTAAAACTCTCTGAACCTGCGCGCAACTTAGGCGTCAGTTTCGATCCCAGTTATCCTTCCTCCCCCACATCCGGTCCCTGACCAGCACCGCCTTCTTCTCACCTCCACCACATTGCCCGTCTCCGACAATACCTCACCCTAAAAGCTGCCGACACCCTAGTCCATGCCTTTGTCACCTATCGGCTGGAATACTCTAATGCCCTTCTCCCCTCAGCTCATGCAAAACTCGCCGCCCGCATTGTCACTCGCACCAAACTTCATACCAGTCCTTGCCAAATCCCACTTCTCCCGGTCACGGAGTGGATCGACTTCAAGATCCTCACTCTAGTGTTTAA